CTGTGTTCACCCTGTGTTCACATTGTGTTCACCCTGTGTTCACCCTGTGTTCACCTTGTGTTCACATTGTGTTCACCTTGTGTTCACATTGTGTTCACCTTGTGTTCACCCTGTGTTCACCCTGTGTTCACCCTGTGTTCACCCTGTGTTCACCTTGTGTTCACATTGTGTTCACCTTGTGTTCACCTTGTGTTCACCCTGTGTTCACCCTGTGTTCACCTTGTGTTCACATTGTGTTCACCTTGTGTTCACCTTGTGTTCACCCTGTGTTCACCCTGTGTTCACCTTGTGTTCACCCTGTGTTCACCCTGTGTTCACCTTGTGTTCACCTTGTGTTCACCCTGTGTTCACCTTGTGTTCACCTTGTGTTCACCCTGTGTTCACACTGTGTTCACCCTGTGTTCACCTTGTGTTCACCCTGTGTTCACTGTGTTCACCCTGTGTTCACATTGTGTTCACATTGTGTTCACCTTGTGTTCACCTTGTGTTCACATTGTGTTCACATTGTGTTCACCCTGTGTTCACCCTGTGTTCACCTTGAGTTCACCCTGTGTTCACCCTGTGTTCACCCTGTGTTCACCTTGTGTTCACCCTGTGTTCACCCTGTGTTCACCTTGTGTTCACCTTGTGTTCACCCTGTGTTCACCCTGTGTTCACCTTGTGTTCACCCTGTGTTCACCCTGTGTTCACCTTGTGTTCACCTTGTGTTCACCCTGTGTTAACCTTGTGTTCACCTTGTGTTCACCCTGTGTTCACCTTGTGTTGCTTCCGGAGAAGTGTGCTCCCCCCCCCCCTCCCCCAACCCCTCCAGGCCTCCTGGTTGTTAATCTGATCAACTGATTACCTACAAAAGATAGGAGATAGACTAAGTGTGTTCCATCCTTTAAGGACAATACCTGGGACTCTCTTTAGGTAGAAGAGTTGTATCACCTCGTTGAGTAATGTCCGTGTTGGAGGAGAGTTCAGTCGAGAGATTTTTACAACTTTAACCCAAAGTTTAGATAAATGCAGCTCTCATGCGCCGGCATTGACGCCAGATCAAATGTAACTGAATCCAGCCGTTACTCTTCAGAGGTCACATTGAGCTCGTGTAGCGTGTTACGTTACCTTATAAACTACGTTAGGGTCACTCGTTGAGTCATTACTTACGTGCGTCGTTGGTGTGGTCGCCGGCGTGAACGTACGTACGTAAGAACGTACCTCTTAATCTGCACTTCAAGGTGGGAAGGTTATGATAAGACTTTTAGAACTTGATAAACACCTCTTACAGGATTCCTGGTCGACCAGGTTGTAACTCGTACGTCAGACTGCGAGCAGCAGTGTCTGGTCGACCAGACTACAAACCAGAAGGCCTGGTCAGAGACCGGGCCACGGGGACGTTGATCCCCGGAACCAGCACAAAGTTGGCAATATTTCTTATGGCCACCTGCCGTCCCCACCTCCGTGGTACGGAATAGGTTAGAGCAGGGGTCCTTTACCTGGGGTCCAGGGACCCCCAAGATAACGTGGGGTCCACGGAGTTCCCCAAGATAACCTGGGGTTCCGCAACAGATAATGATAGACTAATTTAATTTACATGCATATGTATTTTTTAGTTTTTTTTTAGATATAGACATATCTATATCTTCAGATATAGACAAAACTAAAAGTCATAGCTTCGTGTCATCCTTTGCAGATGACATAAAAATCAGCATGAAAATGAGCTCTGCTGAAAACATTGAAAAACTACAAGCAGATATTAATAAAGTTTTCGACTGGGCAACAGAAAATAACATGATGTTTAACAATGATAAATTCCAGGTACTCAGGTACGGTAAAAAGGAAAAACCTTAATTAAACATAATACAGGGTACAAAACACAATCAAATGTGCTCATAGTAGGAAAGCAACATGTCAAGGATTTGGGAATAATAATGTCTGACGACCTAACGTTTAAGGAGCATAACCAAGCAAATATTGCGACAGCCAGAAAAAGATAAGATGGATTACGAGAACTTTCAAATCCAGGGATCCCATCACAATGGTTGTACTCTTCAAGTCACTTGTGTTGTCCCGTCTTGAGTACTGCTCAGTACTCACTTCCCCCTTCAGAGCAGGAGAGATTGCTGAAATAGAGGAATACAGAGAACATATACGGCACGCATAGACGAGATAAAGCACCTAAATTATTGGGATCGTCCTAAAGCTCTCCAAATGTACTCACTAGAAAGGAGACGAGAGAGATATCAAATAATATACACGTGGAAAATACTGGAGGGACAGGTCCCAAATCTGCACAGTAAAATAACAACGTACTGGAGTGAACGATATAGAAGAAAATGCAGAACAGAACCAGTGAAGAGCAGAGGTGCCATAGGCACAATCATAGAACACTGTATAAACATCAGAGGTCCGCGGTTGTTCAACGTCCTCCCAGCGAGCATTAGAAATATTGCTGGAACAACCGTGGACATCTTCAAGAGGAAACTAGATAGTTTTCACAAAGGAGTGCCGGACCAACCGGGCTGTGGTGGGTATGTGGGCCTGCGGGCCGCTCCAAAGCCTGGGGAGTAGAACAACTCCCAGAACCCCATCAAGCAGGTAGCTTTAAAACTACCAATAGATCTGAAAGCAACTGAAAGGGGTTGTCAAATCAACAACAAAAAAGTGTGTCCTAGGAGCTGAAGCTCGACCATACAAGCATAGTCAAGCCTGGCCTCGGGCCGGGCTTGGGGAGTAGAAGAACTCCCAGAACCCCATCAACCAGGTATCAACCAGGTATCAACCAGGTATACAAGCTGAGACAGGCCAGTATAGAAAGCATAGAGTAGCAGCCTTCTCCACCAGACACCCAGCTCCACGGAGCGCATTATGCGCCCCCACAACCTATCAGTGCGGGGAGTATGCTTGGTCAGGCGCCACACCCCAGTCTTGCCCGGCCACTGACCCCACACCCCAGTCCTGCCCGGCCACTGACCCCACACCCCAGTCCTGCCCGGCCACTGGCGCCACACCCCAGTCTTGCCCGGCCACTGGCGCCACACCCCAGTCCTGCCCGGCCACTGGCGCCACACCCCACCACTGGCGCCACACCCCAGTCCTGCCCGGCCACTGGCGCCACACCCCACCACTGGCGCCACACCCCAGTCCTGCCCGGCCACTGGCGCCACACCCCAGTCCTGCCCGGCCACTGGCGCCACACCCCAGTCCTGCCCGGCCACTGGCGCCACACCCCAGTCCTGCCCGGCCACTGGCGCCACACCCCAGTCCTGCCCGGCCACTGGCGCCACACCCCAGTCCTGCCCGGCCACTGGCGCCACACCCCAGTCCTGCCCGGCCACTGGCGCCACACCCCAGTCCTGCCCGGCCACTGGCGCCACACCCCAGTCCTGCCCGGCCACTGGCGCCACACCCCAGTCCTGCCCGGCCACTGGCGCCACACCCCAGTCCTGCCCGGCCACTGGCGCCACACCCCAGTCCAGCCCGGCCACTGGCGCCACACCCCAGTCCTGCCCGGTCACTGGCGCCACACCCCAGTCCTGCCCGGTCACTGACCCCACACCCCACCACTGGCGTCACACCCCACCACTGGCGCCACACCCCACCACTGGCGCCACACCCCAGTCCTGCCCGGTCACTGGCGCCACACCCCAGTCCTGCCCGGTCACTGACCCCACACCCCACCACTGGCGCCACACCCCACCACTGGCGCCACACCCCAGTCCTGCCCGGTCACTGGCGCCACACCCCAGTCCTGCCCGGTCACTGGCGCCACACCCCAGTCCTGCCCGGTCACTTACCCCACACCCCACCACTGGCGCCACACCCCACCACTGTCGCCACACCCCACCACCAGGGGTGGCATTAGGGCCTCCTGAGGCACCATCACCATCTCAAGAATTCAGACTGGTCTCTCAACAGTCATAAGCCTTCAGGAAATACCTTAGTATGAACCTTGTAAGATGTTATGACTGATTTTGCAGCTGCTGATATATAACACTGGAGTCTTAAGTGTGGGCTGTGGGGGGTTTACTGTGGGAGAGGGGTATAGTCAGTGGGTGGTGGGTGGGAGAGGAGCAGTGAGGGGGTGACTGGAGGGGTAAATAGGAGACAGGAAGCGAGGTGCTGGCTAAGGAAGCCATAGGCTGGCTCATCATATAACAGGTGTTTGGGGGCCCCCTGTCTCTTTACCACAGGTGCTCGGGGCCCCTCTCTCTATACCACAGGTGTTGGGACGTGGGGTGGGTTGGGCTCTGACCTCTCATATCCCACTCTGAAGGTGCTGGTGGTACCTACATCCCATAGCCCCAGCACCACAACAACACCACCCCCAGCACCACACCCCACACCCCCACAACACCACCCCCAGCAGCACCACCACACTCCCTCTTAATTTCTTCTTCACTAACTTCCTCTACTCCATAAGACCAACAATAAATAAATGACTCTCCTGTCCTCTTTAGAACAGAGATGTAAATGTTCCAACATATACAAATGAAAGGGACAAATTGCTCGTTGGTAGATTTTTTACCTGAAATTTCTTTAGGGCCTTGACATACGTTCTTGTTTTTTCAGGCGAAAGTCATAAGGAAAGATGGGGGCGTTTGGGTGTGGTTCTCTGTACAGTGTGGCGTGTGGTTCTCTGTACAGTGTGGCGTGTGGGTGTGGTTCTCTGTACAGTGTGGCGTGTGGTTCTCTGTACAGTGTGGCGTGTGGCGTGTGGTTCTCTGTACAGTGTGGCGTGTGGTTCTCTGTACAGTGTGGCGTGTGGTTCTCTGTACAGTGTGGCGTGTGGTTCTCTGTACAGTGTGGCGTGTGGGTGTGGTTCTCTGTACAGTGTGGCGTGTGGTTCTCTGTACAGTGTGGCGTGTAGTTCTCTTGTCAGGACGCCGGGCTGCGGCTTGCTGGCAAGTGTGGCCCCATCTCTACACCTTATGCTCAACACCGCACACATTCTGTATAATGAATACGATAACATTGTGCAGATTTAGTGATGTTGAACCTCTTTGTTTGTGTTGCAGGTCGTGTACAGGCGCCGCGCTTCATCGGTGCCCAGGTGGCCACGGAGAGTGTCGTCAGCGAGGGTCACACCAAGATCCTTCAGTGCCAGGCCCTAGGTGAGTGTTGGTCCCTAAGTGCCAGGCACTAGGTGAGTGTTGACCCTACAGTGCCAGGCCCTAGGTGAGTGTTGGTCCTACAGTGCCAGGAGCCAGGTGAGTGTTGGTCCTACAGTGCCAGGCCCTAGGTGAGTGTTGGTCCCCAAGTGCCAGGCCCTAGGTGAGTGTTGGTCCTACAGTGCCAGGCGCTAGGTGAGTGGTGACCCTACAGTGCCAGGCCCTAGGTGAGTGTTGGTCCCCCAGTGCCAGGCCCTAGGTGAGTGTTGGTCCCCCAGTGCCAGGCCCTAGGTGAGTGTTGGTCCCCAAGTGCCAGGCCCTAGGTGAGTGTTGGTCCTACAGTGCCAGGCGCTAGGTGAGTGGTGACCCTACAGTGCCAGGCCCTAGGTGAGTGTTGGTCCCCCAGTGCCAGGCCCTAGGTGAGTGTTGGTCCCCCAGTGCCAGGCCCTAGGTGAGTGTTGGTCCCCAAGTGCCAGGCCCTAGGTGAGTGTTGGTCCTACAGTGCCAGGCGCTAGGTGAGTGGTGACCCTACAGTGCCAGGCCCTAGGTGAGTGTTGGTCCCCCAGTGCCAGGCCCTAGGTGAGTGTTGGTCCTACAGTGCCATGCACTAGGTGAGTGTTGGTCCCCCAGTGCCAGGTGAATGGTGACCCTACAGTACCAAGAGTCAGGTGAGTGTTGGTCCTACAGTACCAAGAGCCAGGTGAGTGGTGACCCTACAGTACCAGGCTAACTGTTCCACCACTCCAAGTCTTGTTACCCCGCCAACTCTTCCATAAACAAATACCAATATTTCCAAACAGCATAAAATTCCATTATCTTTTCTAACATTCACCCGTTCCCTTTCCCCTCCTTGATTTGTTTGTATTGTAACCAAAATGCTGGTTTTTATATTGGGGTCCTCCGTGTTTATTTTATGTATTCGCCTCCAATGGTTTCATCCATTTATCAGATTTAGAACACAATCTCTTAGCCATTAATAATGTCTTGCTTAGGACTGAGTGTTGTGACTCAGTGGCGGTAAGTGCAGCATCGTGAGGAATGTTCCGCGTGACAGCCAGACTAGCTCCTGGCCTATGGAAACACGAGGAACTTATCACTGGATATGTGTGTACAAACCGTCTTGAAGCCACACTGTAGAGCGCAAGGAAAAATGTAGTTGTCTAAGTAATCGTAAGGCAGCAATTGATCACAATATGGTAACTGTTACTACCTCAACATGAAACTATTGGCTACATAGCAAGAACTTTTCAGGAGAGTACTTCTTCCCTTCTCAGAGCAGGAGAGATTTCGGATATGGAGATTCGGAGACCAACATTGGAGTAATGGTCGCCACATGTAATAACTAATGAATCAGACGACACATACCAGGCTTCTACTGTTCGCTTAAAGTTAATAAGAACCTTCCAGATAATGTACCAAGCATTTGGTAGCCTAACAAGAGGCCAAGAACATCTGGTGGCCCCAACGAGCAAGCCCGAAGCATGCATTCTGAAAGTGGCGGTCATGATTGTGCAGGACCATTGCACAAGTTACTGCCGGAGGTGCCGCCATTGGCATCAATGACGGACTGAGGGAGGGACGACCACTGCTGGTACCCGGACGCTCTGGTACACACTCCCACCCTCACCCAGTCTCTGTGGTTGACCACAGCAGTCTCTTGACACCCCGTCATGAACCACAGGCGCCTTAGGACTTGGGACACATCAGGGACGATGCCAGACAGTTTAGTTAGTTTAGTTCATTTATTATGCACCCCATACCCATCTTGTGGGTGGTAGTGGAAAGGGTTACAGAGGCACATAATGGGCTCGGGGACTGAACCCCACAATTCAATTAGCTAAGCAAGTTACAATCTTGATGAGCAGCGTCATGATCCTAGTTGGTGACGGTGGCGGGGCCGAGGTTAGGGACAGGATGGAGGTGGGTTGAGGGCAGGTGGGGAGAGGTGTTTAGTAGGCTGAACATGTGGCCAGTAGCAACAGCTTCCTCGACCCCTCTCCCTTCCTCGGCCCCTCTCCCTTCCTCGACCCCTCTTCCCTCCCACGTGTATTACCTTCAACGTTGCTGTTTGTATTACCGTCAATGTTGAAAAGGTTACTACTTACCAGGCCGTATCACATGCACGCTAGTGTGGCTCTGCGGCGATTTCAATGCCGCTTGTAATAGTGATCTAAAAAAATACAATTGTTATTGATAACAAGAGTTATCAAGAGTTTCAAGAGGAAACTAGATTTATTCCTACAAGGAGTGCCGGACCAACCGGGCTGTGGTGGGTATGTGGGCCTGCGGGCCGCTCCAAGCAACAGCCTGGTGGACCAAACTCTCACAAGTCAAGCCTGGCTTGGGGAGTAGAAGAACTTCCAGAACTCCATCAACCAGGTATCAACCAGGTAACAGCAAATAGCTTCCACCACGGTAATGTGATTGGCAAGTTCTTGTTGTTTTAGATTCAGGTATTCGGAACCAAACGTTCCAAGTAGCACGGGCTATGGTGAGCCCATAAGTGGAGGCTCTTTGAAGCCATTACCAGTACCAATAGCTGATACTGGAGATCTGGGGATGGATGGGGGTCTTCATGGTGAATTTCAGCCCTGGAGGGCTGGCTGTACCAGTTATGGAGTTGGTGGGTTAGTGTAGACTTCTACGTGTTCCATTTTTTCTTTGGTTGAGCCGTGCTGTCGTTGGAGTTTGGTGAGGTAGCCTCCACGAGGAGGTCTTGTACCGAGTAGATTCGGCGAGCCCTGTGGTTGGTATATAAAAGATGCAAGATTGGCAAGAGGATTACGGGCTCACCATAGCGCATGCTACATGGACACTTCGTCCTGAGTAGCTAAATCTTTAACAACAACAACATGGCAAGAGGATTACAGGCTATTCATGCCCGTGCCACCTCTTGGGTGGCTTAATCTCTACCAATCACTCGCCAATAGGAAATGGTAATTGTCAATAAAGATAGGTGGGATTTTTATTTGTAGTGATGTAGAGGGAGGTGTGTTGTGGAGGGCAGGATGAACAAGGGTACCCTGGTGCAGGAGTGGACGAGAGAAAATGCATATAGACCTTGCAAACATTTACTGGGAAACAGTCTGATGCGACTCCAGCTTCACAGGGAATATCCCAACACCCAGCTGAAGCATACAAGGTCTGCTTGAAGCACGTGCCTGCGAGGAGGCGCAGAAAGAGGACCACTCTAGAAAGAGAACGCAGACGACTGTACAGGAGAAAGAAAAAAAACACCACTACTACTACTACTACCACTACTACTATCACTACCACTGCTACCACTACTATACTGCTACTACTACTACCACCACTACTACCACCACCACTACTACTACCACTACTACTACTATTACTACTTCCACTCCTATTTCCACTACTACTACTACTACCATTACTACCACTACTACTACCACCACCACTACCACTATTATGCTACTACTACTACTACTACTACTATTATCACTACTACTACTACTACTACTACTATCACTACTACTACTACTACCACTACTACTACTACTACTACCGCTACTACCACTACTACTACCGCTACTACCACTACTACTACTACTACCACCACCACCACCACCACCACCACCACCACCACCAACCACCACCACCACCACCACCACCACCACCACCACCACCACCACCACCACCACCACCACCACCAACCACCCCCCCCCTTGTATTAATACACAATGATGCTAGTTATTTGTTGTTTGTACTGTCTGTGCATTTTGTCTCGATAACAGACACATAACAGGTAACAGATTTAGTTTTGCATCAAGTATGGCTAATTCACAATGTGCAGAGAATTTCCCATTAAATTAACATTAAAAATATAACTTTTACAACTAATACTTTTGTCACATTGTTTTGGGCAGGAGAGTATAATATATTGTGTATATTATTAATTATTTATAACATTTTCTTTAACATAGATTAATTGACAAGGTTGATGTTATCCGCAGGATACCCTCAGCCAGAGTACCGATGGGTGAGGGACGGGGAGCCCCTGGGACAGTTCTCCAGCGAGCACTTCTACAAGATCGCCTCCGTCACCAGGGGCGACGCCGGAGACTACCGCTGTGTGGCTCGCAACTCTGCTGGTGCTATATTCTCTGCCAGGACCTCCTTCTCTGTCGCATGTAAGTATGCCGTCTTTGTCACGGGCAAGTATGCCATCTTTGTCACGGGCAAGTATGCCGTCTTTGTCACGGGCAAGTATGCCGTCTTTGTCACGGGCAAGTATGCTGTCTTTGTCACGGGCAAGTATGCCGTCTTTGTCACGGGCAAGTATGCCGTCTTTGTCACGGGCAAGTATGCCGTCTTTGTCACAGGCAAGTACAGTATGCCGTCTTTGTCACGGGCAAGTATGCCGTCTTTGTCACAGGCAAGTACAGTATGCCATCTTTGTCATGGGCAAGTATGCCGTCTTTGTTACAGGCAAGTATGCCGTCTTTGTCACAGGCAAGTACAGTATGCCATCTTTGTCACGGGCAAAAATACCGTCTTTGTCACTGGCAAAAATAACATCTATGTCACATGCAAGTATGCTGCTCTAATTTGGCCACAAGACAGCATTACTGGAACAGATGGAAATTTGATATCTTATCATTTTGTAGAAGTTAACTAGTAATAGTACATAAAATTACCACTAAAAGTGAGATGGTGTCAATAAAGTTTTCTAACACAACAAACAATGAAAATAAAGCTAACAAAATCCAGTATAACAAGCATAGACAGGAACACAGATCAGTTTCATGTCATTCTTTATAGGCTTCTCTAAGATTACAGTACCTGGAAATTTGTTTTCCTGGATGACATTGTGCACCTTGCACCACTGCTTATCCTTATTCTCATATCAGATATAGGTAAAAAATACAAGTCACAGCTTCATATCATCCTTTGCTGATGACACAAAAATCAGCATGATAATTACCTCTGCTGAAGATATTGAAAATATACAAGATATTAATTAAAGTTTTCGACTGTGCAGTAGAAAATACAGTAACATGATGTTTAACAGTGATAAATTCCAGGTAATCAGGTACATTAAAAATGAGGATATTAAACATAATACAGGATACAAAACACAATTAGATTTGCCCATAGTAGGAAAGCAGCTTGTCAAGGATTTGGGAATGATGATGATGTCTGACGACCTAACATTTAGGGAGCATAACCAAGCAAATATTGCGTCAGCCAGAAAAACGATTGGATGAATTACGAGAACTTTCAAATCCAGGGATCCCATCACAATGGTCGTATTCTTCAAATCACTTGTGCTGCTCTCTCCAAATGTGTGTCTTTCTCTCGCTAGAAAGGAAATGAGAGAGATATCAAATAATATACACATGGAAAATACTGGAGAGCCAGATCCCAAATCTACACAGTAAAATAACAACATACTGGAGTGAACGTTATGAAATAAAATGCAGAACAGTACCAAAGGCACAATCAGAGAACACTGTATAAGCATCAGAAGTCCACGGTTGTTCAACATCCTCTCAGAGAATATAAGAAATATTGCTGGAACAACTGTGGACATCTTCAAGAGAAAACTAGATAGTTTTCTTCAAGAAGTGCCGGACCAATCAAACTGTGGTGAATATGTGGGCCTGTGGGCTGCTCCAAACAACAACCTGTTGGACCAAGCTCTCACAAGTCGAGCTTGGCATCGGGCCGGGCTTGGGGAGTAGAACTGCTCCCAGAACCCCATCAAGCAGGTATCCACAAAGGAGGTAGTAAAGCAAACTGAGTCAGAGAGAGATTTGAAAAAAAATTGACAATGAGAGTCATTAGACAAGTGGAATGGGCCACAAGGAGGCTGTCACAGAGAATTTAATGGGCAACTTCAGAAGGAAATGCTTGGAGTGGGGGGAGGCCCCACTCCCTTTCTAATCCATTGCCGTCGTGAGGGGGCTTGGTGGGCAGCTGCCGGAATGTGATGCTCTTTCGGACAGCTTGTCCTCTATCTTTTTGAAGCCTTATGCTCCTACTGGTGCCCTCACAAATTTTGCTGGCTGCTTTTTTTTCTTCCAGACGTTTAATATAAATCACATTTAATTTATATTAAATGTCATATAAGCTGATGTTTTAAATGGGGGTGTTGATCCCCCAAATTAATACAGAGTAACTGCAAGGCAAGGAAGTGTGATTGACTGTAGAATGGTCATGGTTTGTGCATTGTCATGATGGCTCTAAATACCAATCACCAAACCACAGCATTTGAGTGGTCTGATTATGAACGATTCACCCAATTACGAATTTTTACGAAAAATTTATTAATTTTTTGGGTATAAATATAATCTTATATTTGGACTTCTACTTTGTTTGAACAGATATGAGTGGATATAACAACACAGAAGATACCGTCATGACAGTACAAGCTGGTGAAGCAGCTATTCTCTCTCTCCCTCCACTGGATTCATATCCTCCACCCTCTGTCACATGGCAGGCGGACGACGGTTCCTTACTGTATGGGATCAAATATGTCATCACAGACCCCGACAACCAGTTCATTATTTTGGCAACTCATCCTACAGATATGAAGACTTACAGGTGATTAGTGAATCCTATTTTTTTACAGTACATTGCACAGATAAAGACAGTTTATTTTTAAAGATAATTAGCAATTAAAGTATATAGTTTTTGAGATTGAAGTATATATTGAAGAGATTGTTTTTTACATACCTTATTATAACTTATTATAACATGGAGAGGGGGGGACCCCTGCTGCATGGTAACAGCTTCTCCTCCATATCTACCTACCCAGGCTTTGCGCCCTGTCAGGGCACAACTCCATAGTCTTCCAAGACTGAAGAATGCCTACTACTATTATAACTTCAATATTTCAGTGCTTTAATAAGAATCCTCGCTTAATAGCTATATTGATTTCAGTGCTCGTATTACCAACACTCAGCTTGGCTTAGAAGAAGTGAGTGGAGGCATTACTCTGATTGTGGAGGGCGATAAAGGAGAAAATGAGGAGATTCCTCCATCCATCATTGTTCCTCCTTTCAACACTACCATCATCAAGGACTCTAGTATTGCACATTTACAGTGTATTGCTAATGCAAGGTTTGTAATTGTTATATTAGTGTACAGTATAGTATTAAGTCTATCAGTGTGTGAGAGTCGATGATACGTTCAACAAATTTAATTACTGTAAACCCACCTACAGGACTGAAAAGATACTATTTGCATGTGAACAAATCCTTATCTATAACTAGATTTACACAACTTTTCTTGGGATTGGTGTAACTTGTATGATAACATTGTTGTGTGTCAGATTAATATTACAAAATATCTCGCTTAAGGTTTAATATTACATGTGGTAGAGCTGTTAACTTACCAGGTACCTGAAGTATTGAGTATAACATTGGGTTTATAAAACTGACACCAATATACAGTGTTGTATCTATATTTAGATGTATTGTACTGTATTAGCAAAGCTACAGTGTTTGCACTATTGTTTTAGATGCACTGCCTGTAGTATATCCTGTGTGTTTCTTTACAGTACTATATCCAGACGTTATACTGAGTTGAATGTTATGTTACAGACTACTTAACATTGTCATTATGTTAATTATGAATTATTATAATTTCAGACCACTTTACCAGTTAGAAACGCTTTGGTTCAAGGATGATGTACCTATAGAGCAGTCTGGAGTTGTTTTTTCCTTCAATGGCCTGTGGAATCGTACTCTTAGTCTTCTCCAGGCTGACCTGAATTATGCAGGCACTTACAAATGTCAAGTTCGCCTGCGTACCAGTATTGATGAGCCGATTCAAGCTGCTGCACAAGTTGTCATCCATGGTAAACTTTAATTTCATTCTTTGTTAATGCATCTTCATTACTGAATTCAGAACAAATGTGCAGCTCTTTGTTTATGAACAATACCAGTTCTCTAAGGCTCTTAAAAAAATTAATGGTTACCTCGAGATTATCTTGAGGTGGTTTCGGGGCCTAGCATCCCCGCGGCCCGGTCGTCGACCAGGACTCCTGGTTGCTGGACTGGTCATACAGTATGCTTGACTAGGAGTAATGGTTGACTCTGCACAAATTCAGAGAACATGAATTTACATAAGCAAAACTTTTATATAAATTCTAAATTCAAAGTGTGCAAAGATACATTTGCAGACAGTGAGTCGCAATAATGTGGCTGAACATATGATGACCAAACCACACATAGAAGATGGAGAAACTCTTTCCATCCTGGACCATTATCAAGTCGTATGTGAGGACTTGACTCGCATACATACGACTTGATAATGGTCCAGGATGAACTGAAACGTCGTCGTTTCTTCGTCTTCTGATGTGTGATTTAGTCAAAGATACATTTGTAATCTATGCATTTTAAAGTGTGGTTTTACATTTTGTGGGTTGGTGTTTTGGCGGCTTGATGGCTACAGTTGTTGGTGTATTTTGTCTGCATTGCCTTTACTTTCCACCACTCTGCCCCGCTTGAAGTTGTTCCCAAATATCAATTGATGACTACAGTACAGTACATAATTCCTGACAAATTTTGTTTCTATGCAGTTTTTAGAATGACATTCCTGCAAATATAGCTTCCCTGAAGCATTCTGCAGCTAATGCTGTTCTTCTGGGTACCTTCTGGAGAACCAAAATGAAGTGTTGAATTTAAAGTCTGTTGAAAATATTGAAGGTCTTCAGAAGAAACTACTTTCACCTTTTTTTAGTGACCTTAAATATGTATGTTGCATTAGAGTTCAATTTAATTGTCGTTTGTAATGGGTTTTGATCACGGATGTCTGCAGTCGAGTTTGGAGTGTATTCATAATCTCCAATCTTGATGTTAACTAATATCTGGCTGGATGTAACACTAGTCACCTGCCAGTGTCGAGTCTATGGACAAGTCAAATGACCAACCACCACCGTACAAAAACTTGCAATCAAGTAAACCACTGTTGTCTACATCATTGGTGGGTTTTCAATTTTCTTTAAACAATAATGCTCAAGGTATTTGTAGTTGGGTTTTCCAGGAATGCATCCATTATGAAGAAAGAAGGTTGATTACTCAATTTTCATAATTTTCAATTCTTACGTGTTTCATTGTGCTTCAAATGGCACAATGAAAAAAAATTATCCAAATACAGTATTCGGGTCTCTGGATGTTCTGTTACAGTTTATATACTGTATTAATATAACTTTACAGGTCATCAATAGTCAAATTATTTTTTTTAATGTTAAAGATGCAAACATAACATATGATTTATAAGTACTGTACAGGTATTGTACTTTTCTTTTTAATTTATTCATTGATGGCTACATTTTCAAAGCAATTTCTTCACAGATCGCCCAAAGCTGAAAGAGCAACTTCCTGTGGACACATTTGCTGATTTAGGCAAAACACTGACTATTCCCTGTTCTGCAACTGGGATTCCTATACCTTATATTACCTGGTACAGAGATGCTGTAAATGTTATCACCCTCGATGATAACAGGCAAGTCATATTTTGCTAATGTTCAGAAGTTAAAATAGGCCTATATAAAAAAAGCTTGTATCCAATGCTTCTAATTAAATATTTTATCATAGAATTTTCTGCATTTTATTATAAATATATTTGCAGAAAAATTGTGTAGTTATAGTGAAATATTGTAAAGTATGCCATATTCTGTTCTTAGATTACACGAGTTTTAATTCATTAATTTTTCTGATAGGTATCGAGTTCTTCTCAATGGATCTCTGGCCATTTCTGCCGTTCATATCAATGACACTGGGATGTACCAGTGCTTGGCCACTAATGTTGCTGGGGAAACCTCGGCCTACACTTGGCTCAAAGTCAAAAGTAAGCATTTACCACAAAAGTACTTTTAGTATTGATTGTATTGTATAATTCTTTTTTTAGTTCAGTATTATTAGCAATTAACAAACATAGGGTTGCATAGTGTTTGTGTGTTATCAGGTTATCAATGAAACAAGTAGAGCCTTAATTGAATTAGAAATAATTTGGTTATTGATGTACTTGTACTTGGTAAATTGATGGCTTTGGTGAAGTTATATTGGTATTGAAAGGTAAAAATAAATTGTCCCTATTTAGCTGTGTTCCCTACATTTAGCTGTGACTATGGTGTACAACTGGTTACTCGGTAAGCTATTACGGTACTGTACAGTATACAGTGCTAGGTTATTTGGTTTCATTATTTATTCTGTAGTGAAATTAGTTTCTACCTAATTTTTAGTTTTGCAGTAACAAATTTGCGAGGAAAAGTTCTTCATAGTGGTTTACTGTGACTAAAGTGGTAATAAATTGTGCTTATGAGGTTGGGGTGTTAAGGTGTGTGTTATTATCAAAATTTAGCTCTTTTCTCCAAGTAAAGTTTTTAATACCTAAAATAGTTATAATGGGGTCAGTGGCATGGTATTGAGTTGGCGCACTAAGCAGACTCTTGAACCTTGCCCCTACACTCCCATGTATGGCAACATCTGTGTGGTTTTGTAATTCATTCATTCACATTTGAATGCTTCCCATTATTTACCTCTGGGGCAGCTGGTCATTTGTCTACTTTGTGCACCAGCCTTCAATTATAAAAGTTATTTCATTACTTTGTATTACATTAATTTGTAAATTGTATTTTTTTCATACTACACAAATACACCCAATATCTGTACACATACACAGTATTAAAGCACAGTATATTGCATGAGTTATCATAATTTCTTGGATTGTTGACGTTATTATGAGATAAACAGAAAAGTCATAATTTTTTTATTATTCAAATTTTTAAATGCTTCTACTGTATTATTAGCCGTGCCTAATAACTTAAATACTGTACTTATTTCTGAAAGCATTCGTAAGCTTAGTCTGAATCCTAACCTGATGCCTTAAAATTGTTATAATGTTATCCTCTCATGAATGACACTTTCTGTGGTTTTCTGGCAGCGCGGTGGGGCGATCTTCCCTCTAATCGTGTACACAGGTCATTGAGATCCAGGGCCCTTGCTCCCTATCGTAAGATCTGTACTAACAAGTGCATGTTTATGTTCTTCCCATTCTTCGCTTGATGTGTCAATAGTAGCTTTAGCATGTTGTAAAATATCATTTCTCTCTTTACTAAAAGCAAAAAGTGGGTTTAATGTGGCTCTTACAAAAGCTTCTAACAGATAAGTGTTGGCTGGTGTTTTATGTTATGTGATGGCTGTTAATAAGAAGAGGATGTGGCACAGCATACTGTGCGTTCATAAGCTAGAATGTCATTGAATTCATTATTTCCTTAATCAGAACTATAATGTCAACTTTCAATCCATCTTCCATTTCAGAAATTATAAAATACAAGAAAGCTTATGATCTGTGAACACTAGGATAAAAATAATTGTGTTCGTTGGGAAGGTAAAGAAAGCAATGCAGGAACTTTTTAAAGCAGTCACTGGATTACGAATCGCACAAAAACATGTGATGTTTGTGAAACTTTGTTTAGATCTCATAATTTTATTACAGTAGTTAATTTCTTTATCATGTACATATTGTTTATTAATGCACTTGACTCCAAAGCAGATTATTGTAATATTTGTAATATAGTGTAGCTTTCATTTCCCAAATCAGCACTAAGTAAATGATAAATTTTGCAATTAATTTTTAATGCAGTCAGTAGTAGCATCACTAAGTAGCAATAATCAGATTTTAAGAGGTTGAGAATAGTGTGTGCTCTTATACTGTATAATACATCTTGGGCCAGTAGAGCTGAGGGAGGTGGGGTGTCCTCTCTAACTGAAGTAAATGAGCATCATTTACATTATTGGGTTATACTTGTTCTATTTAAAATGTTGGGTGTCTGGTGATTTTTTTTATTGTCAAGTCCATTATTGTTTATGTTATAGCAGGTGTCTTCATGCAAGCTTGTGGTTTTAAAATTAGCAAGATTTAATACTAATTATAGGTACATTTGTCTTTGTCTTTTGTGTGGTTTAATTTTAGCAGTTAGTGATTTCTAATATTTAAAATGTTTGATTAAAGAGAAGTATTCCTTCTGTGTTTGAGTACTCGTAATGGCTCCATGAGTGTATGATTGTACTGTACATAATACTAACTGCATCCAAGGTTTTGATTATAATGCTTGCTTAGTGTTAATTAACAGAATCTGCAGTTTGCATTTTATCATGTTTTGAATATTTTAATTAGTGTATAATGCAAGCAATTGCTTTTCTTGGTTCAGATACCTGTACAGTCTATAGTACCGGTACTGTATATACTATATATATATATATAGAAATTAAAATGCATTCTATGGATCTCAGTATTTTCATAATCTACACAAGACAAGATGATCAGATTGGTGTTGAACAGAAAAATGTTGGCTAATCATATATTTGAGAATGCTGCAGTGTTCTTTCTTGTGTGAAATAATCCATATAAAACTCGGAGAAATATTATAAGTTTGTGTGTTAGAAGTTAAGTGTTTTCATCTAGCAGTAGACCTTGATATATCAATTGTTCAGTCAGAAGGAAATCCTCAATTGAAAAAATATCTCTTGCCAATAATTTTTCTATTTACCAATAAATGGAATATAGTAGTGTAGCCAAGATTCAGCAATACCTAATATGGGGAGTCTATAAATATTTGTGTAGCTCAAAATTCTGATATATTTGTGTGTGTTGCAGCATCTGCTCCCGTTATGTTGTTAGCACCAGCGAACAAGACCGTGCTGGATGGTCAGGATGCTACAATTTCTTGTCGAGCAGGCGGAGCTCCTCAGCCCAATGTTACCTGGTTATATAATGGTACGAAATGTGATTTTCAAGATATGTTATCATAGAATGAAGAGCAGTGTGACTGATAATTGTTTTCATTCTACTTAGGCAATTTTAAATCATAACATTAAGTATTAAGTGCTGTCTTTTGAATTTCATTTACAGTACTTTAATTTTAGGTTAATACAGTACATGAATTTGAAATGATTTATTTCATTATTGTTGTGAAAATGTTTATAGATGACCTGGAACTTGTGGAGAATGGTCACTATCAGATCTTGAGTTCAGGAGACCTGCTTATTGCTGGGGTCAACACCCGAGATGAGGGAAAATACACCTGTCTTCGTTCCAATGAAGCCGGAACTGCCTCAGGAAATGCTTGGCTCGCAATCCTAGGTTAGTGACTATAATGTTTCCATATATGGAATTAATTATCTTGTTGGCATGTCAAATTACACATTTTATTTTTTGTCTAGTGTTTATGTATTTTGTTTACAGGCTTAATGCAGTTGAAGCTTTCTTGGTACAATGGTGTGTTTGTTTACGTTTGTAATGTATTTACATCATTTTATCTTTATTGAGTCTATATAATTTCAAAGTACTGTAGCACATACTCAAACACCATTATTGCTTTTCTCTACAGCAAAAATTATCACATTTCTGATAAAAATATTGAGTGTTGCCTTCCAGTACAGTACTGCTATTGTGGTTTATAAAATTTAAAAAGGTAGTCTGTTTTGTATTTAAGATTTGTATGAAAATTTTCAGTTCCGGTAAAATTTCTTGTAACACTAGAGATGGAGGCTTTCATGTAAATTCAGGTAAATATGGTAGGAGGCAGTAATAATAATAATAATAATAATAATAATAATAATAATAATAATAATAATAATAATAATAAATCTTAAACTAGGAAAAACACCTTCATAAAAACTGCTAAGTAATAAACTATTTGGTTTTAGAGGTAAAAGAAATGCGTCAGATCTACTACTGTAGTTGACTGGAAATTGAAATAAGCATCTTGACTATAGAAATAAAACATTTCATGAGCTTGGATATTGCTGGAGCATTAGTTAGGGTCTGGCTTAAAGGATTGGCATGTAAGCACAAGGGACTTGGAGTCGAGGGGGATCTTCTGCCGTATTGAAAACTATTTAAATAACCAATCTTCCAGTTGCCATTAACAGTGAGTGTTCCTGTGAGTGTAAAGTAGAGGAGAGTGTAGCCGAGAGTACTGTGATTGGACTACTGCTATGGAACATACACTTGCAGGACATGCTGAAATTAATACAAGAGGCTGACAAATGTACATGATTATAGACTGATTATCAAACGAAATGTGGGAAATTGTGGAATGCATTTCAGCAACCTGGTGGCTTTCACTAAATTTTCACTAAAATATTTCAAAGATCTTGTAAATGTATGGGTTATAAAACACAGTACTGTACACTAGTATTCAATAAAAATATACAAATCCTGCATTGGTACAGATACTATAACTGCACAGAAAAAGGGTAGTTGCGCGGGGTGTAGCCTCAACCATTGATGACGTGCGGGGGTGTAGCCTCAACCATTGATGACGTGCGGGGGTGAAGCCTTAACCATTGATGACGTGCGGGGGTGAAGCCTTAACCATTGATGGCGTGCGGGGTGTAGCCTTAACCATATAATGTGTATGCTGTGTATATAAAAAAGTGTATAAATGTGTATTAATGGGTAAAAAAAAATTAGGAATCCCAACATTTCTTTAATTTGTATTTATTTTATATTTATTTCAAATATTAGGTTTCTATTCAGTATCTCAAGAATGTTTCATAATATTATTGACTTGAAGCTTAAAGCACTTTAGAATGGGATTATTAATATTTGGGATGATGTTCATAGTATTGGGTTTGCAAATATTTTGGAATAATATGTGGATGCTGAAGATAAAGCTGTAGGAGCGTAGTGTGCATGTCGGGTATATAAATAAATATATTGATAGAGTAGCATGTTAGTGTGATGTTTTTCTAGAGTATGACTCCACAGTTCACAGGGATTGAAGTGATTACAAATTGGCATATTTTAGTGCTTTTGTGTGGTCTTTATTCGATTTGGCAATTATTTTTCAGTTAAAACTCAGATATCACAGCCGCCAGTGGATACACGAGTCATATTAGGTCGGGTGGCAACACTACAGTGCAAGGTGTCCCATGCTGCAACTGTGGCAGTGCAGGTCCAGTGGTTCCATGGAAATAATGTCATTGACCCTGAAGGAACGCCTCGGATCAGTGTGCGGCAAGATGGAACACTGGAGATACAAGAAGTCCGGGCAGCTGATGTTGGTCTCTATACTTGTGTGGTCAGTGTCACCAGTGTACAGTATTTGGATGTAAATTTTCTAGATTTCAGAATTATTGAGTATTTTATTTTTACTTGTACAAATACTGTAACTATATTTATAACATATTTTAAAATTGCATTGGTCTCTTTAGGTGATATCATCTGGTGGAAATGAAACTCGTTCTGCAAGCTTGGAGGTGATCGAGCTACCTTACGCTCCAACTAGTGTACGTGCTGAACGAACACCACGCATCCCAAAGTCTGTGCAAGTTTCTTGGACTCCAACCTTTGATGGAAACAGTCCTATAATTAAATTTATTGTACAGAAAAGAGAGGTCCCCACTGAAGGTTTGTATAATTCTTGGAAATATTTCTTTAAAATGTGAAATTTACAGATTATTATTTGAAAATACTGTATATCCTACTAATTCTTTGTCTGAAAGCAAACTAGTTTTCCTGTGTTAAAATATCAAAGTGCCATTCCCTTTAACTGATTATTACTGCCAGAGTGTGTGTATATAAGAATAATAAATATAAATAAACATAATTTTTTTTTTTTTTTTTTTTTTTACAGGAATAGTTGATGATTTGGGTCTGAACTGGGTGACTGTGGTAACCAATGTGAGTGCAACTACCACTGAAGCTATAGTTGGGGAGCTGAGACCTTCCACAGGTTACCAGTTCCGGGTGTCAGCTGTGAATCATGTTGGTGAAGGGTCTCCATCCGAACCATCCAACACTGTTATACTCCCTCAGGAAGGTATATGGGCAAGAACTTTTAGAGTCTTTAAAACCTCGATTAGGTTTATCATTGTTGCTTAATTGAACCTTTGGTGTATGCATGTAGGAATAATCACAAAAAAACATATGATTCAGTTATATGTAAGTATCTACAGAGGAAAAAAAGTGCAGAACTTTTTCATGTTTTTCTATGTTACTTGAAAATGTGCTGCAACACAAAAATGTTCAAAATTTGTGTAATGTTTTCCTACGTGGGTACTTATGCGTGTGTGTGTGTGTGTGTGTGTGAATGTATACATAATATATTTAAAGACTGTCAGAGATAAAACTAAAGTTTTACAGTTGCATGAATCATAGACATAACTGTTCATTAAATTGCTCTTAGCCCCGCTACACTGCAATAAAATTGTTTCTCAGATTACATCAGTAAATTTAAGTGTTGTGAAAATTCCTCCCTTCCCTCTCGCAGTCCCTTATCTTTATAGAGTTTGACAGCATACATTACAGTATTTACCTACCAACAGCTCCGTCAGGGCCTCCCCAAGGCTTAGTGGGCTCTCCTAGATCATCTACAGAAATTATGATACAATGGGAAGCCCCTCCAGAAGATGAGAGAAATGGAGTACTTCTTGGGTATATGGTACGCTACAGACTCTGGGGATACAAGGATGCACAATGGTACTACCGCAACATTACCAAAGAGGTTTGTAATTTTTTACCAACTTAAAATGTATGCTGTATGTGTATGTAGTTTAATGGTGAATATGCACATGCATATACATAATTAAAGTACATATGCATAAACACTATTAAAGTACATATGTACTTTTATGGTGTATATGCATATGTAATTTAATGATGTATATGATACCTGCTTGATAGGGCTCTGGGAGTTCTACTCTCCAAGCCTGGACCGAGGCCAGGCTTGAAAGTACATGCATATGTACTATTAATGGTGTATATGCATATGTGCTTCATATGGCATATTTTGGCTCGTCCTCGGTGAATCCAATCTATGTCATTTGACAGCTGTCATTTTTTTAAACCCTCAAATATTGTTCTGTATTGAAATCCTTATAAAAATCAAGATTTGACATTTCTTATGCTCTTAATGCTTAATAAAGAGGTAAATCTTATTATATAAGTTCATAATTATAAGACTTTTTGAGCATGCAGCAAGATTGTATACAAACATATTTGCCAATTGTTTTTTTTTTCAAGGAAATATATAAAATTTTTGTTTAAATTATTCTTTCATGTTTCTCATACTTGAAACTCTTCTGTGACAAGAAGATAAACATAAAAATATTGTTTTCAAATATTTTTTAAATTCCACTTGGCTGGTAGCTGTCCAAACCAATTGTGGTTTGTAAGAATTAACAATACATATTTGCTTCTATTATGACCCTGGTTAAATTAGAGACCGGAGTGGGGTGAGACAGGTAGATAGATGAAAACATTGATGACATTGATTACATTACGTGTCTGCCCTCAATATTGAGATTATGCTAATGTGATTGCTAAATAGAATAGCATTATTTAGAATGGATTTGTTTTCCTAAAAAAGCACCCGGATCTCAGATCCTCAGAACTGTTCCCTGAGCGGTGTCTGTAGGACTGGATTGTGCAGTGTCAAGCAGGCTGAGATGCACGAGTGTCAGGAATTTTTCCAAATTCTCCATTCATGATCATTAAGTTCCTGAAGATTAGTGGAGAATATGCATTCCAGTCATATCGACACTAGATTATTTCATGATTGAAAGTCCCTTTCAGGCCCTCACTTGACATCACAAGTGATTGCCAAGAGAGAGTGCTTCGGATAGATGCTAGTTGGCTTATGTTTTAATTTTTGTCAGCCATCATCAGGTAGCAACACCACTACATTTTTAGGTACCCATTCCTGCACCCTCTCCTCATGCATTCTTCCTGCCTGTGTGCTATATCTGTCGCCAGGCAGAGACCAGATTTTCAGATAAGCTTGAACTGTTTTTACTATTTAGGTTCTTTAATCCTGTGTTCAAGGCTCGGCTATTATGTACTGGGTATTCTGAGAATACCCAGTGTACTGTGTTGCTTTTGGTAGACTTTCTTCCGGCTGAGCTTCTCCTTTGGGGTGCATGAAGCTCTTCTATATGGCAAACGCCACTCTGCAGGAGAAAAGTTTTCTCCTAGAGTGGTGTGTTCGTTGCCATACACCATTATTCAGCCACCCTCTCCTGCAAAAGGATGTTTGTTTTCACCCCTTTCTTCCTTTTAAGAGGTTTATCATAGGAAGAAACCAAGTGAGGTAGGTCAGAAATCAGGGCTCTGAATTGCAGTGCAGTATACGAAAGGGGTCTTTCTGAGGGACTTATTTTGTTGCCCCCCCCTCCCCGCCTTCTTCCATATGGTCATTGGTAAATGTGAGGTAGTATGAAGGATGGTGCAAAGGTAGGGACCTTGAGGGTCTTAAAGGGCTTCAAGTTTATAAATTAACTACTGTTGGTCATTTTGTGTTGTGGTTTATTATCTAGTGACTGCTGGGGCAGTTTGGAAAGTTGCTTGTGGTACAGTACTTGTGCCGTATGTCATCATACCTGGTTGTGCCCTTATCCTAGAGGCAGAGCTGGATCTTTCCTTGGGAGCACCAGAATGTTCTGCTTTGAAAAGACATGAGCATTTGCTGTAACAAAAGTCTTGTTTTCTGTAAATTACTCGTGTCCTTCTTGGCAGTTAACTAAGATGAATGGAAAATAACAAGATTTTCATATTTAATTCTGAGATTAGATGTCAAATATGTGGTAGATTATGCATGTTATGCATAGTGTTTTTTTCACCTAAATGGCTTAATGTTTTGAGCTGAATCTTGCATTTATATTATAGGCAGACCGAGACTGGAAGAAGCATGTGTCTGATCTCCACTGTATTTTGACCATAGCATTGCCGCACTTTCTTATATTGTTTGTCACACATTGCTGTTGAGACTGATCATCTGTAATAAGAGTATTTCAACTTTGACTCAATGCCTTTCAATGCACTTATGTTTACTTGATCTAGGCCCAATAATTTATCACATCACCTATATTTATGCTATATTTTAATAATATGGCTTTTTAATGTTTTTGTCTGAAATCAGTTATTCCCAACACTCAATTTTTTCCCAAAGTTGGTTACATACAAGTGCTCACCTAGTTGTGCTTGTGGGGGTTGAGCTTTGGCTCTTTGGTCAGATTTGTGAAGGCTGCTGCACTTTGAATTTGAATATGAATAAATCTATATTATCCTAATAAGCAAATGAATACATTTCATATGAGGAATTCAGTACTGTATTAGAAATATAAACTTTAAATTAAAGTAATATAAATCAGAGCAATGCTTGTATAAATCACTAAATTTATTATAAAACGTGAAATTAAGTATGCCAAAAATTCCAAATATCACTTTGATGATTATAAAAGTGTAACACAACTTTTCACTTCAATTTTATTATGATTGAATGTTTGTAAATTACAATATTTATCAGACTTAGAGGAGTCTAATTATTTAACACTGATATAGAAATTATAATCTAACAAATTGAAAGATATTACTGAATAGTTAAATCTAGGAATTTTAACCAGAAATTGCCAGAAAATTAACCAACACTGATAGATAAGCACAGTGATTGGACCCTACAAATATTCTTTTTGCTTCCCTCACATTTTCAAATATCTTTTAAATCTTCTATCTGCTAATATATATAGTTAGAAGCTTTTTTACTCCATTTAATTCCCTTTCTGTTCACTTTTAAGTACAGCATACATAGCTATGTATGAACCTGTGCTCAAAGAAAGTGTTTGTTCAAAACTTAATTTTTGTAATACATTATACAAATTTCAAGGACAACTAAAAAGAGGGATAAAACTTAATCTAAACCACGAAGCACCTCGGGTTCCCAAGGTACTGACTTCTCTCTATCTTACTAACAAAGCCACCACGAGAAGGTGTGGTGAGAGCTGGATTAATTTATTACGTATGGTATGCCATACTGTGGCGGTAACAGGGATCTTGTGACAAAAGCTTCTCCCAATACAAATATGTTCATTTTGCCAGTAGCAACCTCAAAATATCATTGGTTAAAAATGCTGTCAATAAAAAAAGCATTGACATGCATATATTAACTTTTAAACTTTGTTTCCTCTACTTACACACATGTGATCTATACATTCACTTTCCCAAATGCTGTCACTCGGTTTTTAGATAATTGTGCACCTGCTGACTGAGGTGGAGACAGTTAGCTGCTGTAGGATGACGTACGGCAGGGCTTAGTCAGTAGTTATTCTTGTGTTAAATATGGAATCCTTTTTCTGTCAGAGTAATTACGTTGAGATGTCTTCAACTAAAATATATATATACTCCAGTTATTAAGTGCTTCTAGGTATGATTTGGCTTGTAGTGTGTATCTTTATTAGCTTTAATTTTTATTTTTATTTTTAATGTATCAAAGTTATGGTATTATATCTTGTTTGTATTTTTGGTTAACTTCTTTGCACTGATTATTTCATTCTTTATATTTTCATTTTTTAAATTTTTGTCTTCATTTCTGAACTAGAGATTAAAGACTGTTCAACGCTTCATTGTTGGCCACGAGCATAAGGTACGAGTCTTGAAGTCATGAGGTAGAGGCATGAATAAATTAGATGATTATTTGTAGAAGTGTACGGAGTTCATAGTTCATAGAATGTGTAGACACCGCTTCATAGATGACACAAAATGGAGAATGGCATTTTCTTCATTGGTAGAACCAGATAAAAATAACTAGTATAGATTAAATACTCAAGTATGTAAATTAAATTGATGCTAAGTATATTTTGACATTTTCACAGCATACTAAAGCATGGCACTTGGACTGTTTATGAAAGATATCTTGATGTCGTTAGAGTTTTCCCTAAATAATTGAATACTCATTTTATTGTTTTATTTGTATTTCCAGAACCAGCACAATTATCTAATTGGAGGTTTAATAATTTGGAAAGACTATGAGATTCAGGTTGCTGGATATAATGTCAAAGGTGTTGGCGTTTACTCTCGGAGTATTCGTCTCAAGACAAAAGAGGGAATCCCTGCAGCACCACCGAAGAATGTTAAAGCCACAGCTGTGAGCTCAACCTCCATCAAAGTTTCATGGAAACCTCCAGATCCCTGGATGATAAATGGAATTAATCAGGGATATAAAGTTCAAGCATGGCAAAGTAAGTTTCAAGGCTATTACTGTATTATCTTTTAAGAAATTATGGGCAGCTATCATCTTTGAGAAGTGTTAAATTGTAATAAATCATGTGTTGTATCATGTTATTATTTTTTTTTTACAGTAAAACAAATCTTGTGAGGATTGTCTTCAAGAAAATAGGTGGTTGTTTGTGTGATTGCTCCAGTGAACAATGCATTTTAGAGTTTGTGCATAAGGTTCCCTCAGCTGCTTCTCAAGACACCAGCTAGGATCCTTTCTCGACGCTACTAATCAACCTTTGTTATACTGTGATAAGGGATTTTGCAAATAGTCTTGCCACAAAATTGGGAAGAGAAAATATTGGAGAATTGTTTGTCCACCATCAAAGTAAATGCACTGTAATAAAAAATAACAATCAAAGCGCTCAGTGCTCCTCTCTAACAATAATATACAGTAATTTCTTACCAAGAAAGCCAAATTTTGTAATTATATTGGACAGGTTTGGAACCTGACCTTCCTAGAGAGATGTCGTGTAAAATACTGGCTTATCCTGTCGATTATCTGTCAGTGATCAACGTCCCTGATTAACCAGGATGTTTGATGTAGCTGCTTGCAGCCTGGCATAAGTCAAAGCCTGGTTGATCAAGCACCTTCAAAGGATACCTGATTAACCAGGCTGTGAGCAGCTGCACTGAACAACCTGGGTGACCAGACCACCAACCAAGAGGCCAGGTCAGAGGCTGGGCTGCGGGGACATTGCTTCTCAGAATCATGTAAAATTCAGTATTTTACATGACATCTCCTTTGTTTTAGGGAGTAAAACTGGAGTGGTGTAAAGTGGTCCAAATGGTGTAATTAAGTAATTACCTAAGTGTAGTTACAGGATGAGAGCTACGCTTGTGTTGTCCCGTCTTCCCAGCACTCTTTGTCATATAACGACTATAACTTTGACATATAAAGTGTAAGGGTTTTCCAGCTCTGCAATCTCACTTGCCCTGAAAGGGAATGCCAAGACTAAATTATAGTTCAAATAAGATAGCACCAGTGTTTTGAAGAGTACCCGCACTAGTGTGGCTGAATGATCTCATTATGCACAAGACAACGTTGATCTTCATTTGTATAACTGAGGCGTTTTCATTTAACTAGTAAGTTGGCTTCTTAGTACCTACTTAAAAATGATGTGTGATGTCAGCCTGACTGGTCAGAATTTTTTAGAGTCTGCGGGATGTTACTGGTTTAGGGTCTGCGGGATGTTACTGGTTTAGGGTTTACGGGATGTTACTGGTTTAGGATCTGCAGGATGTTACTGGTTTAGGGTTTGTGGGATGTTACAAGTTTAGGGTTTGTGGGATGTTACTGGTTTAGGGTTTGCGGGATGTTACTGGTTTAGGGTCTGCGGGATGTTACTAGTTTAGGGTTTACAGGATGTTACTGGTTTAGGGTTTGCGGGATGTTACTAGTTTAGGGTCTGCGGGATGTTACTGGTTTTAAGTTTTTTTGCCACATTATGCCCAGTGTCTGTGCTAATGATATTAGCCTAATATATTCTTATTTGTTAAATAAGGTATATAAAAGTATATAAAATATATATATATATATATTACCGGTATATAAAAGGGTATAACTCTGCAAAACTTTTCTAGTATTAATTATTTTTACCTCATTTGCAGATAAACCTGAGGGCTCAATTGAACCAGATAAAACCCGGACTGTTCCTCCAAGCCCATACCCTGATGCTAATGAATCTGCAGAACTCACTGAACTGAAAAAGTTCACAGTATACTATATTACAGTGCTTTGTTTTACACATCCAGGAGATGGCACACCTTCCACTCCAATAAAGATTCAAACGCTGGAGGATGGTAAGTTTAATGTTGATGTGTTACTACTTGGCGAGCCTTGCCCCAGGTCAGGCATAGGGCGTCGAAGAACTTCCGAAATCCTCTCCGAGTATATTATAACAAATTCTGAAGGCGGTCGAGATTTGAATTTCTGTGTTTTTAGGGTATATCAGCTTTGGGATGTTTTGTTATATACCAAGAAAGGCCTTTGCAGATGAAAAATGGTCCATGGTAGACATTGCAATATACTGGGCTGTTATCAGGTTGAGGAAGGAAAGGCATCACAGTGACAAGAGGTTTACATTGCTTTCCATTTGCAATTTCTTACCTTCATTTTATTCTTATCTTTTTCTGTTACCTGCTCCTCACCTCTTATCTCGCTCTTACCTTATTTATTTACCTGTCTCTTCCTCTCTCCTATCACACAAATAATTGTCCTGGAAGGACCAAAATGTCATCGTTTCTTCATTTTCTGATGCAAACTGATGACCAAACCACGCAATTGTTTTTTTGTGTATATAAATTGTGAGGAATAAATGAAGCCCAGCACTATCGTAGGAAAGAGTCTGAAGGGTAAACAGTGATTAGCTATATCAGTCATATATAGCCCACTGCCAACATTAGGAGAAGGAAAGAACAGTGGAATGAAATCAATGCAACAAGCCTGAAATTGTGGAAGGGACAACACTAGTGATGTTACAAAAGAGACTGGATAATGAGAGACCTTGATGTAAGGCAAGACACACTTAGAGCAAAATTAATAGTATGCTCAACCACATGTTTGTAGTGCATCATGCAAAGGAATCAGCAAGGAGATGACATTGATTAACTCTAGTTCTAATATTATTTGTTTATGTTGAGAAAGGGAATTAGCACAGTAGGTATAAATAGCTGGAAGGCGTGACGTAAAGAGCTATATGTCACTTCCCCGTAGTCACGGATAGGTAAGCACTGATTGGTAAACCTAAGAAACATAATGGAGACTTTCCATTCATCTTGGCTCTAGGAGACTGGCACAGCAGACCCCCCACACGTGTGAGGCAGAAGCTCTACCCACTCGGCTATGAGAGTAGTCTTAATAAGGAAAGTTTCCTGAAGCAGCACCCTGCTGCCAAACGGGAATTTTCGAATTTCCCCTGACTACTACTGAAGCTCTGAGGAATTAGTGATCCATGCCCAGGTCATATAAATTGTCATCCATACTACCGTGGAAATGAACATTCCAGTCACTTGGAATTCCAGTTTGGCAGCAGGATGTTGCTTCTGGAATCTTTTCTCATGATTACTCATAGCTGAGTGGATAGAGCTTCTGCCTCACACGCGTGGGGTCCGTGATTCGAGTCTCCTAGAGCCCAGGTGACTGTAATGCTTATTTCCACGGAAGTGTGGATGACAATTTATAATGGAGAGTGATTACAAGAATCTCTGACAGTCGGTGAGCTGGGAAGTAGACGAGATATGTGGTAGGAGTGAAAGAGGTGAAAGAGCACTCTACCATTCCAGAGAAATCTGAAATGGTACATAGGTGAATTACAGTGCACATAGGTATGAACATCTTAGTAGGATGTCTAAGCATTGTTTAAGAGTGTATGAAGGGGTGTTTTAAAGTCATCTAATGACTTTAGAAAATAGAAGGTCAAGATACAGTGTGACAATAACATACAAGATACTCGGAGAAATAAACAAAAGTGTAGAGGGAAAGTGTTTTCCAGATAAGGCACAACATAATTTGGGAACACAGGTGGAAGTTGGAAATACTTGTATGTAGTGAGAATGGTAATTAAGTGGAATGAACTTGAGCCAGATATGGTGGATGCAGTCACTTCACAGCCTCAGTATTAAGTGAGGGAATATTGGAACATTGAGAGGTATAAATGCACCAGGTACAATAGCTACGAGGTGGGGCTTTATGGTTTGATCTAGATTACACTATACAGAAATAGGGAATTATGTGGAATGAAGTAAAGGATGGGGTGGTCGAGGCTTGTTCAATCCCTAGCATTAATGTAGATTTGAACAGAATTGTAGAAAACTTTGCATAAGGTTGTACCAGATTCCTGAATGTTTAGAGGCAGTCCTAAGAGCTAATTTTCCCTACCCTATATCATATACAGGTAAACACACACATCATTGTAGAATAAATATTCTGTCATTTATTGTTGGTACAGAACCCATTTTGATGTTCATTCTTTAAAATGTTATTTGATGTTATATATACAGTACTCTTTAATTATTACTGTGAAAATTTAGAACTTTTTAAAAAATTTCTAGATTTTCATTGCAATATAAATATTCAAGTTTCATGCGAGATAAAAACAGCTAACCTTGTTTTATTTCAGTTCCAGATTCAGTGGTAAACCTGAAATTTGAGGATATAAGTGATCGATCTGTGAGGGTGTTGTGGGACGAGCCTGAACACAGCAATGGCATTCTTAAAGGCTACACTCTCTCTTATATGGTGAAGGACTCGCCTCACACCAAAATTCTTCAAAATTTAACTGCTGATGTTACAACCTTTATGGTCACTGAACTATCAGTAAGTTTTAAAGTATTTAATTTGTAAACATTTTTAAGTGGGGGAAAATGTTTTTAAATGCTGTTAAGAGGCAGAATGTCTTATAATGTGTTTTAACTCTAGGTTATATTAGAATTGTTAGTCTATAAATATGCAATATTATAGTATGCATTAATATTCTGTTCTAACTAATTTTCTGAATGTATATTTTATGCCTACAAAGTACAGTACTGTAATCGATACCAAATTAATTTATAGATAATATGAAGAGAGAAGTTTTGTAATGCAAGTACAGTACTTATTAATTTCAAGAGTGGTATGTATACACTGTATATCTACATGTGGTATTCTTTTAACAGGCCACTACTTTCTACACATTTGAAGTGTATGCATGGACCTCTGTAGGGCCAGGTATACCAGTCATTGCAACCCTACAATCAGGTGTTAAACCAGTCCTACCAGAGCCACCTACACGTCTAGCCGTCTCCAACATTCAGGCTTTTTCGGTTGTGCTTCAATTTACTCCAGACTTTGATGGCAATGCTTCTATTTCTAAGTGGACTGTGCAGGTAACTTTAAGGAGTTTACATTTAAGTAGAAAATGCATTTCTTTTAGCAATAACTAAATTAATAATACACTAATTTTAATTTGTTCTCTTTAGAGTATGGAGAAAAGCTATCCTCGTTTTGTTTATAATTTTGATTGGTTAGCTGTATTTGGAATATTTATTAACATAACTGAATGAACAATTTATTATACTGACCAATGCATTTACAGGCACAGTCTTCCCGTAGCAGCACTTGGGAGACCATATATGAAGTTTCTGCACCAGATGCCACTACAATTACAGTGCAAAACCTCATCCCATATACAAAGTACCGCCTGCGACTTATTGCAAACAATGTTGTTGGGTCATCGACTCCCTCTGAATCATCTCCAGATTTCCAAACTCTTCAAGCAGAGCCAGCTCATCCACCATCAAATATGACTGTGCGAGCCATGTCTTCCACTCAGCTTCGAGTTCGGTGGATTGTAAGTAATGTGAATTATATTCCTGACATGTTTAGGTTTTAAATTGTGTGACTGCAAAGTGTCATGGCAGTGTCATGGGTGGACCTGGGCATGTGGGCAGTGTCATGGGTGGACCTGGGCATGTGGGCAGTGTCGTGGGTGGACCTGGGCATGTGGGCAGTGTCGTGGGTGGACCTGGGCATGTGGGCAGTGTCGTGGGTGGACCTGGGCATGTGGGCAGTGTCGTGGGTGGACCTGGGCATGTGGGCAGTGTCGTGGGTGGACCTGGGCATGTGGGCAGTGTCATGGGTGGACCTGGGCATGTGGGCAGTGTCGTGGGTGGACCTGGGCATGTGGGCAGTGTCGTGGGTGGACCTGGGCATGTGGGCAGTGTCGTGGGTGGACCTGGGCATGTGGGCAGTGTCATGGGTGGACCTGGGCATGTGGGCAGTGTCGTGGGTGGACCTGGGCATGTGGGCAGTGTCATGGGTGGATCCAGGAATGTGGGCAGTGTCGTGGGTGGACCTGGGCATGTGGGCAGTGTCGTGGGTGGACCTGGGCATGTGGGCAGTGTCATGGGTGGATCCAGGTATGTGGGCAGTGTCATGGGTGGATCCAGGCATGTGGGCAGTGTCATGGGTGGATCCAGGAATGTGGGCAGTGTCATGGGTTTACCTCGGCATGTGGACAGTGTCATGGGTGGACCCGGGCATGTGGGCAGTATCATGGGTATTCCTGGGCATGTGGGCAGTGTCATGGGTAAACCCGGGCATGTGGGCAGTGTCATGGGTGGACCTGAGCATGTGGGCAGTGTCATAGGTGGATCCAGGCTCTGGCTCGGGAGCAACCAAGTTAGCCCAGCTCAGAGTGGTCATAGATAAGATGAATTGTGCTTGTACTCTGTATAACTACCCCTGGCCAGTGGTTCTGGTAGGTAATCAAATAATGCATCTTATCTGATACAGTTTGTCATTGAAACTGAAGTAAAAAGTATTCATTATGTTTATGTTGAATATGTTAGTGAAGTTTAGTACAATGTTCATGTTAAATTTTTCAGTTTGTCATAGATAGTTGGTTTTTATCTTGTGTAAACATTGAACTCGGTTTCAGATTATTTGGCAGTAATTTGAGCAATTCCAGCACTGCACCTGTTAATTACTTGTTGTTAATATATTTATGATTTTAACAGCCTCTGCAGCAGTTTGAATGGTATGGTGCACCTCAGGGTTACCGTATTCGATATCGACCAGTTGGATGCAAGTGTGACTTTTCTGAAGACTTTGTGTACGACAACACTGCAAATTCGCATCAGCTCGTAACTTTGCAGGAGTACACACAATACGAAGTGACAATGGTTGCAGTAAATGATATTGGCCCATCTTCTCTGGCTCCTATTGCAGTAGAAAGAACTAGAGAATCAGGTAAGCTTTTATATATATATTTATATTATACTGCATTAGAAAAAATAAATTAAGTGGAAAAATTTTGTGCCATCTTATCAAATGTATTCATATACAGTATAGGTAATCATTACATTCATGATGTTTTATGGTAGCATGAGTGTGTAATTACCTAAGTGTAGTTACAAGATGAGAGCTACGCTTGTGGTGTCCCATATTCCCAGTACTCTTTGTCTTATAATGCTTTGAAACTCCACCTTCTTGGCCTCCACCACCTTTTCACTTAACTTGTTCCAACCGTCTACCACTCAGTTTGCAAAAGAAAACTTTCAAATATTTTTCGGTATCTTTATTTCCTTAGCTTGAATTTGTGTCCTCTTGTTCGTGATGCTGCTGGTTTCAAGGAATTCCTCTTTGTCAATTTGGTTGAATCCTGTTGTTATTTTGTAAGTGGTGATCATATCACCTCTTTTTCTTCTATCTTCTAGTTTTGGCATATTTAACGCCTCTAGTCTCTCCTCGTAACTCTTGTTTTTCAGTTCCGGAAGCCATTTTGTAGCATGCCTTTGCACCTTTTCCAGTTTATTGATGTGCTTCTTGAGATAGGAGCACCATACAACTGCTGCATATTCCTATTTTGGTCTCCTAAAAGTCATAAACAGTTTCTTTAGTATTTCACCATCCACGTAATCAAAAGCAAGTCTGAAGTTGTAATGTGACGCATATGTTCCCCTCACAATGTTGTTTGTGTTCCTCTGGTGACTGTTTACCATCCAAAACCACCCCTAGATCTCATTCTTTATTAGAGTTCTTTAATGCCTTTCTACATAATTTATAGGTTGTGTGTGTTCTATTTTCTCCGATTCCACATTTCATAACATGGCATTTATTTACATTGAATTCCATCTGCCACATATTGCTCCAAGCACTTATTTTATCTAGATCAATTTGAAGGGCATGACAATCATCTGGGTCTCCTATCTTTCCCAGTATCTTAGCATATGGACTAGTATATGGACTATATTAACTTGGCTAGTGCACATGTCTCTCACTATGTTCAACTTCAACTTTGTAGTCTTCATCGTCTTCAACTTCACCATTTTGTCGTCTTTGCACGTGTTGATATATAGTGGTACATTTTTTATGAATATAGTTTGTCAATTAAGGAAAAATAATTTACAAGGTGGCTTTTCATAATGCCACCTTGTAAATTATGTCAGTCAGTCAGACAGAGAGACAGACAGTCAGTCAGTCAGTCAGTCAGTCAGCCAGCCAGTCAGTCAGTCAGCCAGTCAGTCAGTCAGTCAAGAAATAATAGAATTTCTAGTAATTGTTTTGAATATTGCGCATTCTCTAATGTCTGCCCATAGGAAACATAATACTGTGGCTGAATACAGAAGAGCATTAGTTATTTTCAGTGGAAAATGAATCTTTCCACTGAAGGCTGTGTGCCTCCTCACTTAATGAATGTGGAAAGCAGGGGAATGGTAATGATAGTTACGATCATCTCGCTCCTGTATTGCAGTGTTCAGTATATTCGGTTCGTAAAATATATATTGAATTTTTGTTTCCTCAAACTTTCTTATAGATTGAGAGAACAAAATTTTATGTTTGAGTGTTTGCTTTGGATGCTCCTTATGTCTTGTGGATGGGGCAGGTGTAGAATATGTGTAAACTTATTAATACACAGGGTGCCTGACTTTACTCAAGGTTGGTGTCAGCAAGAGAGAGAGAGACAAAGACAAAGACAAAGACAAAGAGAGACAAAGAGAGAGAGAGACAAAGAGAGACAAAGAGAGAGAGAGACAAAGAGAGAGAGAGACAAAGAGAGACAAAGAGAGAGACAAAGAGAGACAAAGAGAGAGAGAGAGAGAGACAAAGAGAGAGAGAGAGAGACAAAGAGAGAGAGAGAGAGAGACAAAGAGAGAGACAAAGAGAGACAAAGAGAGACAAAGAGAGAGAGAGAGAGAGAGAGAGAGAGAGAGAGAGAGAGAGAGAGAGAGAGAGAGAGAGAGAGAGACAAAGAGAGAGAGAGACAAAGAGAGAGAGAGACAAAGAGAGAGAGAGACAAAGAGAGAGAGAGACAAAGAGAGAGAGAGACAAAGAGAGACAAAGAGAGACAAAGAGAGACAAAGAGAGAGAGAGACAAAGAGAGACAAAGAGAGAGAGGGAGAGAGACAAAGAGAGACAAAGAGAGAGAGAGAGAGAGACAAAGAGAGACAAAGAGAGACAAAGAGAGAGAGAGAGAGAGACAAAGAGAGACAAAGAGAGAGAGACAAAGAGAGAGAGACAAAGAGAGAGACAAAGAGAGAGAGACAAAGAGAGAGAGACAAAGAGAGAGAGACAAAGAGTGACAAAGAGAGAGAGACAAAGAGAGAGAGAGAGAGAGAGACAGAGAGAGAGAGACAAAGAGAGAGAGAGACAAAGAGAGACAAAGAGAGACAAAGAGAGAGACAGAGAGTGTCAGTCAGTCAGTCAGTCTGACCGACTGACCAACCGACCCGACCCGACCTAACAGATTGACTTCAGTTCCACTGAGGATCAAACCCTAACGTAACTCTGACTTGCACTACCGGTGTGCAATAGGATGCACAAGAAATGCAATCGGGATGCTGGGGAAATCGCAAAGCCATGGCAATAGTCAGTGGGACGGTCAAGAATCGTGTATTAATAAATACTCGAGTGATTCATCAGTTGGACAGTTAACAAATCAGATGAAAGACTGTGTGGTGCAAGTTCAAACATGTTCACTAAGAACTGTGTGGCGAGACACTCACTCTGATCTGTTCACTAATTGCCCTTCCTATTGCTTCACTACACAGGATGGCTTTGATTTTATTTGATCACTTGATACACTTGAACTTGGTCTGTTGCTTCTGAGGGTTAGTCATATGCTACCTCTACAGTTCTTTAATTACTTACAGACAATTCAAATCCATTAAATCAGTCACAATTCTGTATAATTGCTAGTTATATTGAAATAAATGTAGCGAGCTAACTTGACATTGGAGAATATTATGGAGTGATAATAACTTGCTGGTTGACGAGCAATATCATCTCACGGCTAGAGTATGATGATATGAATATGTCATGGTTTACATCTGTGGCTATTGAAATTGAAGCCATGTGTCCCCTTATCTTAGTGACCGTAGGCTGGATAAGTCACTGTCTGGCATTCAAAATGACTGACTCGTAGCTTGTATGGCATGACTGCTCAACACATCCTTATTAATCAGGTACTGGACATATGATGGCCCTCATGGTATCATTAGAGTGCTGGCACTGTGACCTACACAGACACATCCAACATCCAGACCTAAGTCGAAACAAAGATTTTAGAATACGCACTCTGGAACTTGAGGGCAGAGATCTCCTTACTGAGTGCACTGCAATGTACACCTTTAGGTCAGCTGTGGGAATCACTCTCACATGCACTGTTTAGTATGCACTTTTTAATTAATTTGGTGTGTTCCAAAGTTAAAGGGGTCCCTAGTTAAAATTTGAAGGTACACCACACTGTATACAAAATATCCTGGGAAGATATTTACTCGTGGCTACCTTTCCAAGAACACGGAGTTCCCAGAGGCGGCAAGGCATCACAGGTATAGACAAATATAAAGAATACAAGTGGCAGTTTGTTTTAGCTAGTGAAGAATTCTTGTTTGTGATATTGAATACAGTATATATATTCAAAGATTTTCTTGTATTTTTCTGGCATAACAGCTTTGATGAGGAGACTAAAGTTGTTAAGGGGTATGTACAGTTTTATCAGATAGCACATAACTAACATGTCAGCTTAGATGTTAATGTCTTGATTATTTGCACCAGTTTTTGTTTATTCAGTGTAACGTGTACCCATTACAAACTGCACGCATTTCGGTAATACATGATGGTACTTCATCCAGTAGTGACAAATTGTTTTCTAATTTAATAGAATGTTATATCATCGCTATTTGCTCTGCTAGTAATTGTGATGTGGCCTTGGTATTGTTATTTGTTTGTGTTTTGGGTTATATGTTCAGTCCTTGACTGTTATTTGTTGCAAGTTTATCCTGATATAAAAAACATTTATTAGTGTATATTTCTCATTTTGGTGGAATGTTAATAAATATAACTGCCTGAATTGTATAGACCAGGGATGAACTACTGTCATAAGGCTAAGGATTTCTTGGATTAATACAGTTTCCCAGAAATCGGTTTAGTAAGCCAACAAAGGGAAGATTTTCCAGTGAGATTATTGAGGCATTTCCACTCATTTAAGTATGGAAAACTAATATACCCTGCTCAGAAAAAAAGATGTCTAGTACAGTACAGTATCGTAATTGTAGAGTATTTTGTAGAAAGACTTGAGAAGCATGCAGATGGGAAATGCAAAAGGCATCATGATATAACTGGATAAATTTGAGTAAATGGAAGTGAGACTATTTTTCCATTTTCCCCAAATCCATGCCTGGTACATTACCTAATAATCTTTACAATGAATCAGCAACTGTACATCCAAGCCAGTATTTATCCATGTGTTAAGTTATACGTGACTGTACTTTGCATATATGGTTCACTATTTGATGACAATAAGGAAAATGGAGCAGTAATGTTTCCTGTATTATTACTATGATTGTTGTTGTTTTAAATTCAGCTACTCTGAACAAAAGTTCCAAGTAGCACGGGCTATGGTGAGCCCATACATATTACTATGAAAGTTACACTTTCTGTTTACTGTGTCCTCCTTTCTTTAGCTTCGTGTTAGTTCATCCTATGCAACCTGTCATCAGTAAGTGACTGCACTTCTCTGACCCCTTGTTTCAGGGGCTGGCATACCGGTACGTGCCATTACGAAGCTTTGGGTGTGTTCTCTGAAATATCAACATTAGTGGCTGCAGTTCTTGGATTTGGTGGAGTCTTGAGTTGATTCTTTCTATTTGGGTGGAATTTAGTTCATTTGGGTGTCTGAACTTGGAAAGTCTTTCTGAGGACTGTAGGAGCATTGCTTGCATTTTCAGTGGAAAATGCATCTTTTCACTGAAGCCTGTGTGTTCATTCCCATTCACTTCATGAATGTGGAAAGTGGGGTAATGGTAATGATAGTTACGATCATCTCACTCCTGTATTGCAATGTTTAGTATATTCGGTTCAGAATTGAGAGGTTCTGGGTCCAATTCCCACTGCAAGACAGAATAGTTTGAGCAAGTTTCCTTTTATCTGATGCCTCTGTTATTTAAAAGTAAATAAGTACCTGGGAATTGGGTAACTGTTGTGGGTTTGAGCTTGGGGAAGTTCAGTAGTAGGCCTAAGGAAACGTCAATAAGAATAACAGGCTTACTGTCCTCGACAATAGGAACACCAAATTCGAGTGGTTTTTGTTGCAGTTGCATGTGGTGCATTTTTATGCATTATTCATGTGTTATCTGTATGCAAATATAATTTGTTTCTATATTGTTCTTTGTACATTACATAGAGGTAATGATCTTTCATTTATCTTTGTCTTTTAATGCAACATTTGTTATGATCGCTTGAACAGTGTAAATAGTGAACCCAGACAGAGATATCACACTAGTGTTTATAAAGTTGTATTTTAGATTCCTGTCACTAGAATTGTGAAGGTAACTCAAAACTTAAGTGTGTTGTGTGCAATAGTGCATTGTGTGAGTGGTGGTGCAGCTGCCTCTGTAATTCCTCCTCCTTACAACCTAATGCATATGTCCAGTCCTTTTTTTTTTAATCTTTGTGTTACTATTTCAGTTTTACCTGAAAGCATGCTGTGGCTCTATTGGGAAAAGGGGTTATTACAGAATAGCCATTCAAGTTTTCTTGGTGACACGCTGATCTTGACATACCACACATTATTAAATGGACATACATAGTGTGTAATTACCTAAGTGGAGTTACAGGATGAGAGCTACGCTCGTTGTCTCCATCTTCCCAGTACTCTTTATCGTATAACACTTTGAAACTATTGATGGTTTTGGCCTCCACCCCTACCTCACTTAACTTGTTCCAACCGTCTACCACTCTCTTCGCAAAAGAAAATTTTCTAATATTTTTTCGGCACCTTTGTTTCCTTAGCTTGAATTTGTGTCCTCTTGTTCTTGAAGTTGTTGGTTTCAGGAATTCCTCTTTGTCAATTTGGTCGATTCCTGTTACTATTTTGTAAGTAGTGATTATATCACCTCTTTTTCTTCTATTTTCTAGTTTTGACATATTTAATGCCTCTAGCCTCTTTCTTGTTTTCCTGTCATGTCTCCGAACTGAGTAGCCCCCTTGGGAATATGACCTCATTTAAAATATTTTCTTCAAGTTTTGTCTCTGTTAGTGCGGCAATATCTGGGACCTTAAACTGAATTATATCTTTTAATTCCAGTATTTTTGATCTCGCTCCATCTATGTTGGTATATACAATTTTCAGGAACATGTTCCCTTTCCCCTTGTTCTTTACTCCCCCTTCCTACCCATCCCCTTACTCCCCCTTCCTACCCATCCCCTTACTCCCCCTTCCTACCCATCCCCTTACTCCCCCTTCCTACCCATCCCCTTACTCCCCCTTCCTACCCATCCCCTTACTCCCCCTTCCTACCCATCCCCTTACTCCCCCTTCCTACCCATCCCCTTACTCCCCTTGATTTTGTTTCTTGGTTTTTATGTACATTTCCCTGGCTTTCCTGTCCCTATCACTTTATTGAAAATCTAAATTTGTTTCTTCTTCATTTCTATTCCCATATAGACATTTTACTGCATCGAGGTTTAGTTTTCATCTTTCTCTGTCTTCCTTTGAGAGGTTTTGTCTTATTGATCAAAATTTCCTATCCTCATCACTCTGCAATTTCCTGGCATTTCTAAGCACTTTCATCATTTCTTTCACTCCTTTTAAAGGTCATGCTTAAGGCGGGATTCTTGTCACCCCTTAAGCGTGACAAGAATTTTCCTATTTTCCTATTCTCCTAAAATCACTTGACATTTCCATTTGATGTGAGACCTTCTCTTAAACTTACTATTTTCATAATGATTTTCATCTCTTCTGGTGCTCTTTCCATCCTAGATGATATTTCTTTTTCTTAACACCCAAAAATTATGATGGACTTCTATCTTTTTTATTTATTATTTTTATTTATATATATACAAGAGTTCTTACATTCTTGTACAGCCACTAGCACCGTAGTGTTTTGGGCAAGTCCTTAATCCTATGTTCCCTGGAATACGACCCCACCAAATTGTTTAACAACCAGGTAACTGTTTTACTGTTGGGTAAGCAAAAGGCTACAGTTAAGGATTGAAGCCCAGTAAATCCTCCCCGGCCAGGATGTGAACCCAGGACAAGGAGCTCGCAAAACGCCAGACGAGTGTCTTAACCACTACACCATGGGGGACTAAACACTGACTGTATCTGCAGTGTTTTGTACTAATTTACTGTTGGTTTCCTATTCTTTCCTAATTGCTCGCCAAATGTCTGCTGCTTGTTGGTCATTTCTGGTTTTGACTTTCAAACGCACTTCCTTGAACATTTCTTTCTCTTTTTACAACTGCCACATATGTTTCTTTTGTTTCCTCTTTGCACTTTACCAGTCCTTTATTAATCTCCTCAATTTGAGCTGTCCATGAAGTTTCTCTTAGCATATCCTTGCCTAACACCATGTTGGTCTGTAGGGTTTCTTTGAGTTGTTCACCATATGTGTCTATTTCCTTGTTAATTTCTTTAAATTCACCACTCTTCACTTTCCATATCTCATTATCTTTCAATAGTTTTTTTATTTCTCTCCTGTCTCTTTCTTTACCTTGTCAGTCAAGTTGGTAATTATCTTACCTTCTTGGAAAATACTCTTAAATTACAAAACTCAATCTTGAGACCTTCATTTTCTTTTTCTAATTTAATTACTTTTGCCTCATAATTCTTTAGCGAGTGCTCAATAATCACTAACCTGCCAAGAAAACCTCCTTTCATTAAATTGTGTACCGTTAATCCTTTGAAACATTCATATGTTGGCATGTTGTCCTTCCCTGTGGTGGTGGCCATCTTTGTTGTTGACATTCTTCTGTTTTGAAATATATACTTTCCCAACACACATTTTTCACTCACTTTTACTTATTTCTTGTATCTTAGTTACTTTTCAAATTCCCTATACCATCATTTATCCTGGGACACTATTTACAGCCCTCAACTTTAGTGTTTGTGTAATTATCAAAGTGTGTGGGTGCGCACTCACTCGCGTGTATACTGTATATATATAAAATATGTATACTGTATAAAAACGTTTTAAGTTTTGCGAGTGAAGTATTACTATAATTTTCAGTGCCAAGTACTGGACCAGATAAAGTGAGTGCAAATGCAACATCATCGACAACAATTGTGGTGCGGTGGGAAGAGGTGCCCAAGATCCACCAGAATGGTATCATAGAGGGGTACAAGGTGGTTTATGTAGGTGAGTTACTATTCATTTGGTTTTCAATTGCCAAAATTATTTGCATTAAGAGGAAAATTATAAAATACTGTACTATATATGTACAGTACTTGAGGCATTGAGAATTAAAATATGTGGAAGAGAATTTAATGTATTTGACATTATTAAACACACTGGGTGAATGGTAAAGATTAAAAAACTTGTGCAAGACAAAATAAAAGGCATTGGACAAGTTCTACAATAATTTAATGTAGTACTAGAGAAAACTGCTTAAATAATCATGTATTAACATTTTAATTATACCAGTACAAGAAATAGTTTGAATTTTAGAAAATTGTTTTTAAATTACATTATACAGTACAGTATACCAAGTTTTATTATCAGCATTAGTTTATGTATTTTCAAGCTATAGTTCTTTATACGTTTAATACATTTATTAAATTTCCAAAAGTCGGTACAGGTAAATAGAAGAATAAAAATAGATAGCTGTAGATGGACATGCTCCTGTTGCATTGAAGTTCCTACCTTGTGAAAAATAACTGAAATATAATCGAAAATAAAAAAATAGATCTTGATTTTCCAACTTATTTCACTCCTTTCCATTGACTAAGATGTATAGAGATTTAAATAGGATGAGCAATCTCCATTTGTTGAGTACAGAAAGTACAGCATTAGATAAATTATATTTTCCTGTTAATTTTTCTTCTGTATCTTGACATCTTGACAAATGTATCTTGTTGTTGATGTCGACATCAAGATGTCAAATGTTGACATCTTGTATGTAAAAGTGAAATATTTAAATTGAATTTGTAACTTTTTTTTTAGGCAAAAACATGAAGCCACAGGAGAAAGTGATCCGCACCAATAATACGTTTGCTGCAACCATAACACAGCTGCGGAAATATTACCAATACACGGTACAAGTCTTGGCGTATACTAGATTGGGTGATGGGGCACTGTCCACTCCACCTCTCTTGGTACAGACTTATGAAGATGGTAAGAAATATACATTTTTATTATTGTTGCATGCATGAAAATTGTTTTTTGTATTGAGTAGGTCCCTAGTGTAGGGACTGGAATTATGTATTTATGTGGAATACTGGGGGAGTCGGTCGGCCGAGCGGACAGCACGCTGGACTTGTGATCCTGTGGTCCTGGGTTCGATTCCAGGCGCCGGCGAGAAACAATGGGCAGAGTTTCTTTCACCCTATGCCCCTGTTACCTAGCAGTAAAATAGGTACCTGGGTGTTAGTCAGCTGTCACGGGCTGCTTCCTGGGGGTGGAGGCCTGGTCGAGGACCAGGCCACGGGGACAATAAAGCCCCGAAATCATCTCAAGATAACCTCAAGATCTCAAGATAAGATGTAAGAATCAACCCATTCATGGGTTTGGATGCACTACCACAGATTGTATGAGACAGGAATGTATGTCATCTCTATTTTGCTGGATATTTATGAAGGTGGGCTTTTATCCAGCATTAATTTTATTGCATGCCAGCCCTTGGATGTTCCGCAGTGCAACCCATGCAGTCCATATTGGTCTGCTTCTACCCTATTGCAAATATACTTGTATTCAGTGTGAATTGAGGCACTAAGGCAGAGAGCCATTGCTACATGAAGAGATTCTGGATCTAGATGTGAGCCCGTTGCTGACATGGGGTACTGCCAGAAGGAAGTCCTCGGCATAGGTGGGCAGGCACTGCTCTGAGGCAGGCTTTCTCCTTATCTGATGTTGCAGTGCTGAGCATGGCATCAGCTATTTTTTCCATTAGTGGGTGGTCCCAGCTGGACTGTTATATAATATATATAATATACATATATACACAGTGGTGCCTCGATTAACGAATTTAATCAGTTCCTGCACTGAGCTCGTCATGTGAAACGCTCGTCTTGCGAAACAACAACTACACTGTCGTCGGAGGTATCCGAGAACCAGCGGAAATGCTAGGAAGCACAATGTGGTTTGCTCATTAATCGAGCGAAAGCTCATCAATCGAGACAAATGTTCTGTGAGTGGCTCGCTCGTTACTCAAAATGCTCGTAACTAGAGTCGCTCGTCACTCAAGGTTCCACTGTATATATATAATATCTCACAGATCGTTATTAGAAATATAGGCTTCATTTCCTGATTACTAATGTTATTATAGTTAAAATTGTATATTACATATTTAGCCCTGCTGGTGATTCTATTTAGTAAATGTAATGACTTGATACTTCTGTCTTTATCAGTGCCTGGACCACCATCAGAAATTTCCTTCCCTGATGTTTCCTTCACATACGCACGTATTATCTGGGATGTACCTGAAGAACCAAATGGAGAGATAACAGCATATTCTATTGTATACCACCTAGCTGATAGCACCGATGTCAACAACACTTTGGAATTTGGTCCGACAGCCCGAACGTACAAGTAAATATTACATTGATGTGTTTTGTTTTTTAGGTATAAATATCACCAAAAGTAAATGTTGTTTCTAATTTTGTGTACTGTCTACCAAATTAATGTGGCCATCACCCGGAAACAATTGAAGTTCTTAGGATGGGAGGGGTTGGGGAAAGGCATCAAAGATATAGATCTTTCTGGGCTATAAATTGGATAATTATTATTTTTTTAATATTATTTTATTTGCTCTTCTAGGGCTGTTGAGCTAAAACCCGAGAGCTACTACATGTTCCTGGTAAGTGCTCGCACACGTCTAGGTTACGGCCAGGCCTTGCAAGCTCCTGTATACACAACAAACAACAGGGAGCTGCCTGCACCTCCTTCTCGCCCTTCCGTCTCACATTCACAAATCACGTCTAGAAGTATCACATTTTCTTGGAATCCTGGCAGGGATGGATTTGCTCCTATCAGGCAAGTTTGATTAACTTTTGAAATATGTATTCCTCATGATAGATGAGTATGTATTTTGTCATAGTGTGTGTGTAATATTGATAATAGTACTGTATTGTTTTATCCCCTAGTTAATTATCTTCAATCCATTTCTTAACATTGAACATGCATGTATTTTACACAGATACTACACAGTTCAGTATACTGAAAGCAGTAGTGGCTGGCAGACCATTGATGAGAGGATAGATTATTCTGGAAATAGTTACACTGCTGAGAATCTAAAACCCTTTACTCCCTACAAGTTTCGACTTCAAGCCACAAATGATATTGGGGCAAGTGGCTGGAGTGAGGGCAGTGTAGAGGTCAGGACACTACCTGCTGCACCCATCGAACCCCCGACTGACATCAAGGTATGAGTGGCTTCCTAATAAATAATTAAAAAATTTATGTATTGATAATACACGCTGTTGATGTACTGTGTAACCATTAATATTGTAACAGATATAGTAGGGAATATTTTGTCACTACCGCCATGGTGTTACTTAACTATCAGCTCTTGCCCATCAGTGACTATAGAGGAATAAGAGCTAGCTCATCATTTTTTTTTTTTTAATTTTTGCCCCAAGGGGCGAGTTTATTGGGCAGCGCCACTCATCTTGTGAGTGGACACACTGCCATAGCAGCATGTACAACACTCCCCAATAGAAAGAAAACCTGCTGGGTTGTTCATCCTGTCACTTGTACCCAGACACAACTGGGACTTGCTGTGTCTGGGTACAGCATGCGTGTGACAGCTCATCATATCACATTAATTAGCTTGTTCGTACCTGGTAAAGTAAAGTAAAGCACTTGATGTTCAAGCTCTTGTCATCTTATCTTTGATGACAGCATCCACATCATCCTCTCATCACATTCCGTTATTTACCACTCATATTAAGTAAGAATACTCCTTTGGGTTTCCATGGCTCACTTCAGTTTCCAGCTTAATAAGCAAATGGTCTCATCCTAGTTCTTCTTAGTTCAAAGAATCTATACATATTCACTTTTTTTTATTCCATAAGTATCATCATATTGCCCAGTTTTGTGACCGTTGTTAAAAAAAGAAATGATTCAAAACATTTAACTTGTAATGGTGAAAAGTATATTACGGTACTATATACAGTAATTGATGAAAATCAAAATGTTTTGATGATTGGTTGTAGCGAGCACAAAGTTCTGACAAAAATGTAGAGAAACACCAAGCTGAGAGCAGAGTAATTCATAGGCAGTATTTTGCCTGTAAGGGCAAAACACCACTTTCCTATAGCCCATGTTTTTTTTAATTCTATTATATTGATATTAACTGACAATGTTTCAACACATGGTGATTTTATTAGTTCATGTGATATTAACCCATTTGAAATGTGTGCTTGAGCCAAATTTGAATTTGTCAGGTGATCCCCATAACAACTAAGAGCGTGCGTGTGGAGTGGACGCCCCTCTTCCCTAATTCCTGGAGTGGAGATACCAAGACCGGAGGTTACAGGGTCAAGTATCGCCAGATATCGGATATTCCCACTGCCTTCAGTATGCAACAGAAGGAGCTAAAGGATACGTTAGCTAGAGAAGTTGTGCTGGAAGATCTTCAGGTAAATATCACAATTTGCTTGTCTCGACTCATTATATGAGTAATAACCAAGTTTAATTGTTGAATCTACCAGCAGAATACTTTATGTACTTCTCCCCTTTCTTGTCTTTATTATTCTTTACCATTTTCAGTGACCCCCCCCTTTACCTTTTTCAGTCACACCCCTGAACATTTTTCGGTGACCCCATTTACCCTTTTTAGCAATGCCCACCTTCACCCTTTTCAGTAACCCCGCACCTTCCCCATTTTCAGTGACTCCCTTCACCATTTTCAGTAATATAATTTGTTATAAACAGATGTAGAGTCCAAAAGTCAGTTTGAAGGTTGGAGGAGAAAAAGGCCATAATTTTCTTTATGTTTGATGGCTCCTCACCTGCTGTAAATGGGATATGGCGTTATAAATGTGAATTATTCTTTTAGCAATCACTCTCTCTTTCCTTTGTGTTAACTTATTAGTTTTCTCCAAATATGTTCCAAAATAAACACAATTTTGATGCGTCTTTGACCTTTCCACATCTAATTACAGTTCTTTATATCTTGAAGCTTATTCTTTTTGGTCAAAACTTCAGTATCTTGTGTGTATCAGTGATTACTTTGATCTATACGGTATTTATTTGTATTCTTACAATTTGTTGTTAAAAATGTTTCCATTTTGCTGGCTGGAGCAGCCTAATGGTAATATAAAGGCATGTCTACTACCTTCCCTTTATTTCAGGTCATATTCCTCTGGCTACAATCTTTAGTTAAAGCTTTCATTACACTATTTATCCAGTTTTGAACAATTTAATTAATTTACCCAATTTTTATTAGTAAATTTGTTTAGCAGGAGTAGGAAGTTTTACACGATAACAGCCAGTCATCCCATTCTTCTGTGAATATTGAAAAGGATTAATGGATTAAAGATACTTGTGTATTAAGACTTTTGCGGTCCAGCGCCTCTACACGTTCGTGACTGTAAACTTATTGGGCTCCCTGGGCTGCTCACGGGCAACTTGGCTACACAAACCATTTTTACAATAATTTAATGTTTTCTAACTTATTTGTTGGGATATAACAATAAATTTGGAGTCAAAATGTTTGTAAAAAGAGTAGTCTAGAGAACAGATGCAAAACCAAAAGCTTCTTTATAATGGATTTTTGGTGCTCCTGGGTGTTGCAAAACGTAAACCTAGCATGCTCAGTCTGTCCCTCTTAGTGCTTAAAATGTTTATAATCATTTCACATTTTCTCAATTGTTTCTTGGGTTATAACTATAAATTTAGTGACAAAATGTTTGCAAATGAATTCTCTAGAGCAGTATTTTTCAACCACTGTGTCGTGGCTCACTAGTGTGCCGCGAAGGGTTCACAGGTGTGCTGCTGGAGCTTGAGGGAAGGTGAAAAATAATGGAAATAATAAGAAATATGAACATTAATTTTAAAAAGCAATCTTTTAAATTCCATGACCAACATTATAAAAAACTAATAACATGGAGAAAATCAATTGGAGCAATATGGCGACTCAAACCAGCACTGAGGGTCTTTCCAGCTGTGCACCTTTTCACTGTGCGGGATTTACTATGTCCCTGTGCCATGACATAGTAAAAGTTGTATAACCTGGGGATTCAACTAAATTCACAGCAACTCTGGAGCTTTCTATTGAAGCCAATCCAAGTTCTATATATAACCCCCATGCACTCTGGTGTACGTAAAATAGTTCATCAACCATTCACTCGAGCTTCAGATACACAATAAAAATCACACACACATGATATACAGACAAATGTAAAACAGAACCAGGTCTATTCTATAAATTCATAAACAACAAATTGCAGGTAAAGGATAATATTCAGAGGTTGAAAATGGGAAATAGATTCACGGAAGATGAAAAGGAAATGTGTGAAACACTAAACGAAAAGTTCCAAAGTGTGTTTGTACAAAATGAAATCTTTAGGGAACCAGATACAATAAGAATTCCAGAGAACAACATAGAACACATAGAGGTGTCTAGAGACGAAGTGGAAAAAATGCTCAAGGAGCTCGGTAAGAACAAAGCAGCTGGCCCAGATGGCGTTTCACCATGGGTTCTGAGAGAATGTGCATCTGAGCTCAGCATTCCACTTCACCTGATCTTTCAGGCATCCCTGTGTACAGGAATCGTAGCAGACGGGTGGAAACAGGCTAACATAGTTCCAATCTACAAAAGTGGCAGCAGGGAAGACCCCCTCAATTATAGACCTGTATCATTGACAAGTGTAATAGTGAAAGTATTGGAAAAACTAATCAAAACTAAATGGGTAGAACACCTAGAGAGAAATGATATAATATCAGACAGACAGTATGGTTTTCGATCTGGAAGATCCTGTGTATCGAATTTACTCAGTTTCTATGATCGAGCCACAGAGATATTACAGGAAAGAGATGGTTGGGTTGACTGCATCTATCTGGACCTAAAAAGGCTTTCGACAGAGTTCCACATAAGAGGTTGTTCTGGAAACTGGAAAATATTGGAGGGGTGACAGGTAAGCTTCTATCATGGATGAAAAATTTTCTGACTGATAGAAAAATGAGGGCAGTAATCAGAGGCAATGTATCAGAATGGAGAAATGTCACAAGTGGAGTACCACAGGGTTCAGTTCTTGCACCAGTGATGTTTATTGTGTACATAAATGATCTACCAGTTGGTATACAGAATTATATGAACATGTTTGCTGATGATGCTAAGATAATAGGAAGGATAAGAAATTTAGATGACTGTCATGCCTTTCAAGATGACCTGTACATCAAAGAGAAAATCAGTTCGAGCAATGAGGTGACTCGGACCGGCGCTCAAGGTACTCACAGTACCTTGAATCCTGGAATCCCAGGTTGTACAACTGACCATGTCGTGGTATAAGGGTAAGGTGGGTGGCTGGGAGTACCCTGATTGCTGATTAGTAACCTCATTGCTCCAATTGGTTTTCTCATCGATATATATATATATCACATTAGTGTGATACCTGTGTGTAGCTAACAACACTTTTGAGTGTGCTGTTAGGTGAAAAAAGTCGAGAATCTCAGCTCTAAAGAATAGATGCAAAACAAAATTCTAGTAAAATACACACTGAAATCCCACTAATGTGACATGTCAATGAGAAAATCAATTGGAGCAATGTAGAGAATTTGGACTCTGGACCTGGATGTGCCCAAGCCACGTACCTTACCTCTGGACCACAACTTGGTATATGTTATTCAGTTGGGTATTCCACTGAATCCACAGGACATCTGGAGGCCCCTACTAATACTAACTTATACCATGTCATGGTTCAGAGGCAAGGTGCATGGGTTAAGAGTACCCAGGTCAAGGGATGGAATCCTCCTCGTTGCTCCAAAATTTGATTTATAATATAGGGTTATGTGTAAACAGTGATGAATATACAAATGTTCATGAATAGCAATCGGATAACACGTTAACATTTGAATGTTTACTGAGTTATACCTCTGTTACTTAATGTTGATCAAGTTGGAGCTTGGAAAATGAGATTATTGTACAAACGACTTTTGTAAAAATTAAAATGATTTAAGCTATTTATTGTCTGGGATATACCCAAATACTATAATGCTAATATGGATATTATTGTCTTTAGTCCAAATAATGATTTAGGCTTTCACTCTTGTATTAAAGTGGGATATGTTGAATTATTCAACCCAGAATTAAAAGTGTTGTATTTGGTGTTAAATCCAGTTCATTGCAGTATTTAATAAAAGAAAAAATGTTTATGACTCGTTTTATGGGTGGGTACACATTGACAGGTAGCCTTTGAGTACTATGGTAACTTTTTCTTGTAGGCCTTGTGTAATATTTGTACACATTTAATTCTGTCATTTTTTATGTATGTTAATATTTCACAGGTGGATACAAACTATGAAGTGTTGGTGGTAGCCTTTAATGCACAGGGAGAGTCGCCATCCTCTGCCCCAACCACAGTGTATGTGGGAGAAGCGGTCCCCACAGGCAACCCCAAAAATGTCAAGTCTGAAGCTTTGTCATCAACTGAAGTTAAAATTTCCTGGGAGGTATGCTTTATTGCGTTGATATACGAGTCTATTTTAAAGTTAGAGCAGTACAGCCAAAAATTGTGGTACAGCATTGTAATATTAATTATTTATGAATTATCATAACATTTAAGATATTTCAAAATAAATTCTTGACACTACAGCAACCAGAGGAGCAAGATAAAAATGGAGAACTTCTTGGCTACAAGATCTTCTATCGAAGTGAAAAAGATCCGGAGGGTTCGGAAGAGATTGAAGTAGTTGGGGCATCGACTACAAGTTACGAGTTGTTGTATTTAGATATGTATACACGCTACGTCATTACCATCCTATGCTTTAACCCGGCGGGGGATGGTCCCAAGTCCGAACCCGTGTACGCTAGAACACTGCAAGACCTCCCGGGACCTGTCGCCAACTTAAGTTTTACCGATATCACTATGAACAGCCTAAAAGTGGTTTGGGATCCTCCTGCAAGACCAAATGGGGAAATTGTGGGATACCTTGTTACATACGAAACTGCCCGGCCTGATGAAAGTAAGTGAATTGTTAGATTTTACTGCAGCTTCATTGTTTTGAAAATAAGCTTGAATGTATTCTATATTAATAATAGTATCTATGTTTATTTAATGATTTTATGCAGTGACAAAGGCAATAGACTTTCATATATTTTCATTGGTTTTCACATTTACATTATTGTCCTTTGTATTTCAGACTTCAGCAAGCAAGTAAAACAAAAAGTCACATCATCATACTTGCTGGTGACATCATTGGAGGAGGAAGTTGCTTATGAATTTAGTGTTAGAGCACAGACTATTGAGTACGGTCCAGAGGTAACTTTCACTTTATTAAAACTGTAATGGTATAAATTTTGAAAGTTAAAAATAGTTTTTTCTTAATTGTTTTCATTACATACTGTTTTTGCTATACTGTAAATATTTCTTTACAGTATATGCTACAATTCAAACATCACACACATTTTTATATCATACATTAGTGATATTTCATTAATTAAGTATATTTCATCATTATGTAGGAATGTTAAACATAACCTTTTATTTCCCCATAAGAGTTCTAGTATCCTTTATCCTCACAAGTTGTATATGTGCAGTAATGTCTGAATACAGAGTTACACATGTATATATATTCTCATAGAATTTTATCTATATTGTCCTCAGTTCTCTCTTTAACAAGCACCTTACGAGTATAACCAGAAAGGGCAGCAGAGTATTTTAACAAATCATTGGCATTTTTTATTCTATACATGTTTTGTTTGTGGTCATCTTAGTGATGTCAACATTTATCCTTAGATTTTTCATGTGTGGTATGATTTAAAGTAGGATATTTGATTAGCCACCTGAAATCAAATACTAGATATGAAGGATTAAATGAGATACTCTACTGGAGGAATGTAGGGATTTTGTTCTTTTTACATAGAGTGTAACTTTCTTTCAGGACTGAATCACTGGGATTATTGATGGATAAATTAGAGAAATTAAATAATTGTATAACATTGTGTAATTGATTTTTGATGACAATGTTGAAAGTGCATTGTGGTTTTTGATGATTATTGAATATAGTTAGGCTGCAGCAGTTGGATGATGTGCTGTGATAAGTTGAAACGAGAATGGTTGTTACATGCTGCTGGCGGAGACAAGTAGGAAGTGGTGCTGAAGGTGGCTGGATCAGAGAGTGTGAGCGAGGCCGAGGGTGGAGAGCTCAGATGAGGGGCGAGAGCGGGTAGCTCATATAATGTTGGGATTAGCTATCTGCTTTGTAGCAAGACTTGTAGCATCTGGTGTGAGGGTTGAGAGACGACTAACTATGCTGTGTTTTTGACTGTGTTATATCTCCATCCATCTTACCTTGTGCTGGACCCAGTTTCCTTCCATACTTGGCAAGTTGATCATCATTTGGCCTGATTGGAAATTCACTGGTTACATTTAGCTGTCCTAAGTGAGTTATGAAAACCTTGGGAAACGTGTATTGATTGTAATTAATGCAAAACGGATCATTAATGTGTTTATCGTGGAACTTCTTGGAATTAGGAATTCTTAGGGAAACGTTATGCAGGATTAATGGGAACATTTGCTCCAATTGATATTATATTGTCAAAAGTTAATAAAGTTTTGTGTGTAAAAAATGTCCTAAAAGTTGTAGCCATCAAAAAAGTAATATAATAGCAGTCTTTGGTCACTTCGCTGTAATTGTATGAATTCCTAATATAATATTTCTTTTGTTTGAGAAGCGAGTTTCATGTTTTTAAATTAATTAGGTACAAGCAAATGTGACAACAGGCCCACAGCCTGGATCACCAGCACGACCTAAAGACCTGACACTAACCAAGACTGTATCCAGTGTAACACTACATTGGCGTAATAGTCATTCTGGGAAGGACTCCATCCTAGGCTATTACATTGAGGCAAGAAAAATTGGTAAGTAATTTGTAATTTTGCAATAATGAATAATAGTATATTTGACCCTAAATAATAATAAAACATCATTTTTTTATATTTTAATCACCTAAAAAATTTTGTTTATAATTTTGAAGCAAGTTTGCATTGCCAATTAATGTTTCTGCTTATTGAACACTAGCATGAATACATCTTAATTATGCCTGGCATAAACCATTGCATTGCACTCTTCCACTATATAGCAATAATTATTTGAAGTCACTTTTTTGTGTATTAAAATTTGTACAGTATTTAGTAAAAAAAAAAAAAAAAAAATTGCACTAAACATAATAATTTGATGTGAGCACTGTGTATGAACTAGTTTTTCTCAATAGTTGAGCATTTAAAGTATTGCTGCCTATTTTGGCATCTTTGCTGTAATTATTTTCAGTGTGCATGATATACAGGATGTGTTTAGAAGCAAGACTCATCAGCAATGTAGTTAGTCTCTTTGTTAATGGAGTCTTGAGGCTCCAGCACCCCCCGCGAATGTACTAGCCCCAGATTTAGGATTCCTTGGATTTCATTAATGCGAGAACCCACTCCAGCCCAAAACTGAAATATTTGTAGACATACCCTCGAGCATTAATGTTAAAGCACTGCACTGTAGTTAGGTTACCTTGGCTGTATATGGTGGCGGTTTTCTAAGTTTTTCTTCTCTTTTTGTATATTTACCCTCCTCGCCTGCCCGGCAGCAGCCAGCTTTGAGTGGCAGATGTGTAAGTATAGGAGGTGTGCCACTGTAGCCTTGTTTGCTTGTTGCTTTGTAACTGAGATGATGCAATTTGAGTTGTTTTAGTTTCATTTGAGAATTTGAAGAGATTTAGAAAGCTAGCATAGTTTACCACATAAAACTTAACTGCAATATTAATGTCAGTTGTGGTGCCAACATTAGATATTATGGACATAAGAACAGCATTCAAGACAGAATTAATTTGACAAAGAGAATGTGAGGTTAATATAAGTACCATTGTACCAACACCATTTGTCCACAATTGGTGATGAAAATATTAGCATTCTAATGTTCCTTGTCACTGTTATCAGGGAATTATTATTCCTGTTTTGTCTATTGGAATTACCGAGCTTTGAGAGAATTAGATAAAATAGAAATATAATTATAAAGAAACTTGCCATTACTCCCCGCACTTGAATTACCAATAGGATTTAAAGAAAAATCCAGAGTTTTCAGGACAGTGGTGTTAAACTGACAGTTACTTCACATGAACCTTACCCAGTCTGTCAGTCAGAACTGCTCTGGCCACCAAGGTCGCTCTCAATATTGAAACCACGAGATTATAAATGAACTTTAGCATTGTACAATGCACATATCCATAATATTGAGGAGACTAATTATTAATATCATGTACACTGCACAATGTCTGCTATCATACTTGGTACTCACACCTCATTGTCAGACGACCATAATTGTTGTTTTGAGTATTCTATTAGTACTATTAGCTACTGCAAAAAACACTAACAGCAGTTTTATAGTTGTATTTAACTAATCTTCTAATGTATAAGAAAGCCTTAATTCCACTTTTGGATTTTGTCTTTCCTGTGAGTATCTCAGTATCTTTAGTTTCTTTCCTGTAATTAGACTTTTCTAGAAAGAACCAGACTAGATGTTATCATTCTTATAATAGTCATTATGCAAAAATATTACAAATTGTAATTGTTAGTGACAAAATATTACAGCTGTAGAATACAAAATTAGATACTTCATAGAGCTGTATGTAAAATGAAAAGGTTTAGTGAGGAAATAAAGTATTACTGTAATTTTTCACTGAAAACTACAGTACAGTACTGTACTAGGATATCTTTAACCCTTTGGCTGCACATCCCAAAAGGTGATGTATTAGGGTACAACATAAGATTTTCAGACTTCCACGGGTACACAAGGCTCGCTTAGGCTTTCTCAGACCTCTGGTAAACTGGTGCCGTTTTTGGGAAAAAAATTATGAACACTGTTCCTGGGTGTGAAGGCCTCAGTACTGAGTGAGCAACCATGGGTGGCGCATACAGCATGAGCTAACTGCATCACTGTTCAGCTTGTGTGCACAGCAGCACTTAAAAGTTAAGTAATATATAGGTACATAACTGATTATTTTGCAATAACAGTATCATAGAAGATCCTGACTAATAAAGACTGTAAAAAGTTCAGAGATCAGTGAACATAGTGCCGTTTATGATGTTCATAGCGTGATGCAGAGTCACAGTGCGCTGCAATTATTGGATACATCTACTCATGAAACAATCTATGCGCCTTTACTAAATAAACTTGTGCAAAATGATTCATATTCAGGATATACTGACCCGGTTCCTGATAATAATAGCAACATCATGACAAGAGTTAGCAATAGGCATGTTACATTGGAGGCATTATGTCAAGTCGTGTGTCGTCAAGTGAGGTGGCATTGCGTCAGCTGACTAGTGTGTTGATGCTATGCTGTGTGTGTGGGCCCATCACACCACCTGAGTGGTTCATTATGGTGCACAAAAATGTGTGTAGTTATACTGTATATAAATAGTGTTTATGCATTGTAATAACAGCAAAAACAGAATATTTTATTGTTCAAAGCAAATAATATCAAGGTAACATGAATATAGTAATTAATAGTAATTCATTGTGTCGAGGGACAGGCAGCCTGTTTATACATACAGTGCATGTTAGGCTTATATCAAGGTCCCCCAGAGTTGAATTACTGACCCTCCCCAGGCTACAACCCTGGGAAATAGGAAACACCCATAACTATTTCTATCCCGCCTGGGATTCGAACCCGGAATTCTCGATTGTGAGTTGGGAACAAACCCGACTGTACTACCCGGACCCTATATATTTGAGCATTCCGATGTTCCACACATTTTATTATATAAAGTTCTGAAAAAGGCACAATTTTGAATAATATTACTGCAAGAAAAACAAAGAATTTATTAGAGGTATTAGAATAAATATGTTAAAAAAAATCTTCGTGGCAACTCCTGCTTCACTGCTGGTTCAGCACAACTGCCCCGGGGCAGTTGCTCAATGAAAGTTCATGAATTGGATGATGTCATTGCGAGTCACCAGGCTTTGCCATGGTCGAAGTAAGTCGCATAAAATATTTTTTTCTGTGGGGAGCCCCTACGGCTTCCTGGAGCTATGGAGCTAAAATGTGATACGTGTGCATTAGACCAGGACTTTAGTCTATGGAGTTCAGCGTACCGGGGACCATGAACCAGAACCTGGCCCCTCTCCGACAGGTACAGGAAGCAATGGCCTTGGAAAAACCCTGTGGTTGGGGTTTTCCTTATCTGTCATCAACCGGGGTTAGGCATGCAGAAAGGTAGGCATAACAAAACAAACCCCACATGGAAAGAAAATTACAACTAAAAAACAAAGAGATAGGCAGAACTCCCTCCAATCCCAAGGAAACAAGTAAATGTCACACTACACCACCGCATCACTCATCCGCGCTTTCCTTCCCTTCCCAAGAGGGGGAGGGGGAAGTCCTGGATCTCCCCACGCCAGCTACCTAACACTCCAGTTCGTTTGCCAATGTGGTCTGGGGCAGACACCTTCGTGGCGACCTCTGCATTGTTGTTGTGTGTGGTGGCCAGGTGTCCTCAAGAGTACTGGGGCTGCATGCGCTTAGGGGCATCCTTTTCTAGGCACCCTGTGAGTACTGCCCTTGTATGATAGGGCTGTCTTCCCTGGTGCTTTTGGGGAAACATTTCCGTAGGGGTTTTTGCTGCTCGGCATTTACCCTGCCCTTGGGGCCAGCTGGGGTTTCATGGCCCTTGTTTGACCTTGGGTAGGAAGTGGTATCATTCTGGTTGGGACGTCAAGGTGTTGTGCTGCCTGCCTAACTATGCGGCAGCTGGTTCTTGTTTCCTCTGGGGTGTTGTACTTTTGCAGTTTTTTTTGTTTTTTGTTTTTTGTTTTTATTGCCTGTAGTTATAGTTCCGCTTCTAATATTTTGGTGGCCCTCTGCTAGGCCCCCATGATTGTACACGTTGCAGGGGTTTTAGTGTTTTGATCTTCCCCTTGTTAGCTTTGGGTCTTAATCGGTTAGCAACACCTTGCCCAGGCTTCCAGTAGTAGTCAGCCTACAAGCCTTGGAAAACTCTGTCGGGCTCGGTGGACCTATGGATGCATCTTCAGAGTTCCAGCCCACTTCATGTGGGTTCAAAGGTTGCTATGTACCCTTGTTTCAGGGTGACAGTTACCTCTTTTGCCTCTGTCATGCTGCCTTTTGGGTTGACGACACCTTTGACCCGGAGTCTTTGAGTCGTGTTCTCTGTTTGTTCTTCAGTACTATTCTGATGACATTATCTTTAGGGTACAGGCAGCACCTGCATTGCAAGCTCAGTTAAGGTTGCTGCAGTGCGCTAGGATGGTTTCCCAACTGGATGCCCGGCAGCTGCCCCGCTTTGGTTATAGAGACCCAGACCTGGGGTCATTAGTTGCTCTGACTTTTGTTCAGTCCGCACTTCCTACTCCTTCCCCTGTTGTTTACCCTGTTCGAGCTTCCGGCTCCCAAAAGTCTGAGGGTTTCGGAGTCGAGGCATAGTTTAGTTGGTAATGAGGCTCTGGTGGGTTGGGAAAGGCAAAACCCCCAACCATAGGGGTTTTTCCAGGGGTTATTGCTCCCTGCACCTCCCTGAGGGGGGGTGGGGGGGGGTGGGGGGGGGGGAGGTTCTGGCTCTTGGTTCCCAGTAGGCTGAACTCCATAGACTAATGCCCCAGTCTAATGTACTGTATTGTATATTAGCCTGGAGGCTCCCCGGGGCTCGCCCAGAAAATGCCATTTCATTACTTTCTACGCTGGATTTTTGTGATCAAAAAATGTATTTTAAATATTTAGATTTTTTGTTTTTATTTTATGCACACCTGAGTGTTGCGCCATATAAACAGGTGCACAGCCGAGGCGTTAAACGTATTGAGTACCATCTATAGTTGCCTGTAAGTTAAGTATTTGAGTGGAAATATTTGTTTTCATGAAGAGATCCAACTTATATGCAAAAAATTACTGTTATGGTGGGGAAAATCAGTAAATTCTTGAAGGGAATAATTATTTTGTAAAACTTACTTGAATGATATTTGTTCTTCCACTAACTTCCAGTATGGTAACTACCGTATATGGCGGTAATTAAATTTGGGATATTAACTCACTTTTTGTAACTTTTATTAATAAATAATAATTTTTTAATAAACAATGTAAATGTTTAACCTTCAAAGTGTCCATCATTAAATGTGGTGCTTTGCTTGTGCAAAAAAAAAAAAAAAAAAAAAAAAAATTGTTTTTCCTGGTTAAGTAGCTGAATGGAGTGCATCAACACAAGATACACAATTTGCTGACTCATGGTGTAGGGGTCAAAGGCCTGGAATGATCAAGTTGGCAATTTTGAGGCTGGAGTTTGTTTTAATTCACCAAACATTCTGGGTGCTTCTTTGATGGTGGCAAGTATGATTAAGCTTCAAATGTCAAGTTTTCATAGGCCATCATTCCCTGTGCCTCTCTGAGGGGGGTCAGGTTCTAGCTCATGGTCCCTAGTAGGCCAATAGAACTCTGTGACTGATGGCACTTAGTAGTATGGTACTGATCATTGTATGATAGCTTCAGGGAGCCTCGGGGGCTCAGCCAGAAATCGGCGCCTTGTTACATTCAATGCTGGTTTTTAGTGTTTGCTTTACAAATGTGTGCGTTTATCTGCTGCACTTCTTGCGTAGATTTGGTCTATTTTTGGCTATGAGCCGTGTGTGTGTGCAAGGTGGTAATTCCTAAGGTGCTCATCTGGTGTTGCACCTGCACTGACAAGAGTACCTGCTCTTGTGTTTGGGTGTTCACAGTCTGAAAGGCCAGGCCAATGAAGTAGAGTTAAGCCCTCTGTAGTGCGCAGGTCATTGACTCCACTGCAAGGCTGTGTGGTTTGGGGGGGAGGGAAGCATTATGTGGTTTTAAAAATTGTGGGGAGGCACACTAGGGAACATGGGCTTGTTCATACAGCATGCTGTGGACACCCTTTGGAGCTGAGCGTCCAAAGGTTGGACACTGCTCCACACCCTTTGGATACAAGGGTGTCCAAAGGCTGTGTTCGTTGTTTGTTCTTTCAGCAAGTGTCCATAGTGGTTGGGTGTTCTGCTTGGTTAGTTGCCTTCATGCCCTGGTAACTACTTTGCGGTCTGCTGTTCAGCTCATATTGGTCAATCTGTTGAGCTGGCATTTGGTACTTGTGAGTTTGAGTACATTCCATCACATTTGTGCAGTGTCTACTGATGGTCATGTACTTTTTTCCTGGTTATTTGTAGATCGGCATCTAATACAGTACTTAATGCTGTCACATCTTATTGCTCGGCCTTGTTGGAGCCACTATTGCTTGTAAATCTGGATAAATCTAGAGAGGGTTCTGGGAGTTCCCGAGCCCGGCCTGAGGCCAGGCTCAGCTTTTGATAACTTGTAATTGGCATTAGTGCATCCTCAGCACAGTTTTGCAAGTTATCTTGGACTTTCTTACACCTTCAACCATCTTATTCTCTTCCTGAGCCATCTTGACCTCTCAGCAGAATGGTTCTTCCAGCTCGGGTTATCCGTAATGTCATTAACACTGGCTTTCTTGTGATCTTCCTTCAGGCCCACAAGGTTCACGACTTGTGTTCACTTGTGTGTCATGGCCTACTTTTTGGACTATGAAGTTTCGGAAGTCTCGCTAGGTCCTGGTGACTCGTGTAGTTACTGTTCCCCTCGCTGGTTCATCCCCTGTTCTCTTTTGTTAGATAGCTTCGAGAGCCACCAAGAGGCTCCCCAGAAAACCAGCACTGAATGTAATGAAAAGTTTTTCTCTCGTTTTGGTAGAGCCTCAGTGGATCTCTAATTTCCTCCCCCCCACAATGTCGGTCATCATTATCAGCTCCAGACTGGCTAATGGCCAAATCTGAAGGCTAGTGCTGCCATCTGTTGTTAGCTTTTTGCACTATGATGTTTGAGCTACCTTTAAGTGACTCATTTGCAGAATCATTTGGCTGTGATCATTGGTAATGTTTGTTGCACATCTGTTAATTATAAAACTTTGATTTAAGGATGGGTAAAAAAAGCAAACTAATAAATCTCAGTGATATGGCTCCATTACACACACACAAAAAAAGTTTTCCACATTATATAATGATTGGGTATCCAACTAACTTGGAAGTGGTTCAGGACCAGTTCCTAATTGCTTTTGTAAATATCTAACTCTGATTTGTTTACTCGTGTAAGGCCACGAGCTTACTTGAAAATATCCACCCTTTTTCTTGTGACATGCATCATTACTAACAAAGCTTGCATTTTAATCTGCTTTGACTAACCTTTGAGTGTCGTTTATTTAGCTTTTGGATAATATATCTCTAAATCTTGTTTGATGATTGAAGTGTTTTTTTGTTTTGTGTGCATGAATTTTAATGTTTACTGTGATGTTAAAACTAAGTACTATAGTGTATGCTTAATATATTATATAACCATTAGGCAACTATTTTTTTATAATTTAAGGATATTTGTTTCTTTTTAGATTCAGCTACTGGAACAAAATTTCCATGTAGCACGGGCTATGGTGAGCCCGTAAGAGGACATTTGATTTTAATTTCAAGCACATTCAATTTGTAGAGTTTGAAATACTGCATTATAGTAAAACTAATTTTCTTTTATGTGCTTTAGTCTGAATTTCATTCCTTTAAAGCTTCATATTCAGAAATCATCTTGTGGATTTTTTTTACTTTAAATTAATTTTTTAATATTGGCAAGTAAAAAAAATGGCCAGAACACACAATACCATAATATGCTTCTTCAGACTCAGACAAGTGGTCGGTACTGATGAAGACGGAAACCGGCGAGGTCGAGGAGTACACAGTGTCATACCAGAACCTGTTGCCGTCCACCCAATATGAATTCCGACTAATTGCTTACAATAAATATGGCATATCCTACCCAGCAGTTGCTAATGAAAAGGTATGTTATTTGGTACAATATAGTATGATATTCTCGTGATACAGTATCGAGATAGTAATGTAGTAATCTTACTATTTAAATAAAGATGGCATTAGTCATCATGCAGTGGTCAACATAAGAATACATCTCAAATGCTTTTGCCCTCAGCAATGTACTATAGGTACTAATATTTTTGTGCTACCATCCATAGCAACTATAGGTACTGTGCTATAAAATTTGTGCTACTATTATAAAAATTATCGATACTATAATTTTTGTAGTTGCATCCATAGTAATTCTAGGCACTATAATATTTGTAATACCATTCATTGTAATTAGGATTTTCGAGTATAGTAGATAATATATAGGACACATCAAATCTCCAAACTAAAGTAAATCAGGTCTTTCAATGGACCACAAAAAATATGATGTTTAATGAAGAAAAGTTCTAGCTCCTGTACTATGGTAAAAATGGAAACCAAATACAAATATAAGGGTCTAACCACACTACAAAATGAAAAAGCAATATTAAAGATTTAGGAGTATTCGTGTCAGAAGACCTTACCTTATTGTTGTCCCCCTAACTCCCCTTGCCACTTCGGGGGGTTATAGGGTGTTTGTGTAGCTTCAGGGCACCAATCCCCCCAGCCACAGGGCATGGTGAGAAGGCACCCCTAAGCATACCTAATTCCCTATCAAACACAAACTAAAATACACATAAATGGCAGATCTCATCACAACCCACAAGAGTTAAGATGATAATAACAACACACAATATGATGATAACATACACAAAATGGAAAATTCTTTTGTATTTTATTTTTCTTATATGGGACACAGCACACAAAGGAAGGGGTGCACAGTATATCATTAAAAAGAACTAAACCTGAAGGCAAAACAACAAGCTGCCTAAGCGGCAGGATTGGTGACTTGACATCGGCATTCATGGAAAAACTATTCATAGTGGAAGCTCCTAACAAGGCCCTGGAGTGGGAGGGATATCATGTATGCGCATGGGGGTCCCTCCGGCCGCCGCCTTACCTACTCGTGGGCTCCGGCCAGGTCATCTACCCTCTTGTAAGAAACCATTTGGAGAAGTGGTACTCCAGATGATGACTGCTTAGATAGTTGGTTACCAGCTATCCTGGCTGCGGTTCACCTAAGCAAGACTATATTAACCCTTATGCACCCTGTGCATGGTGATCCTGGGACTAAGATGGTCTGCCCCTAGATGTGGTCTTGGACCATATTCTATAGATGGAATATGTCCAGGTCAGGGCTTTCACATAGCAAATCTCAAGGTCGCTCTTGGTGAGTCCCATATCCTATAGACCACGCACACTCTCCTTGCACCATCCTTCCCTCCATTTAAGGATTATTGAAGAGACGGATGCTGTGTGCTTCCCGGTATATTCCCTGACCTTTTGAAGGATCTCTGGGGTGCCGTACTTGTCACACTTGCTCTGATGTGGACGGGAGAGTGGAAAGTTATCAGCAGAGACCTGGGTGTCTAATATAAAGGCCTCATCACCTTTGCAAGCTATGATGTCAGGCTTACAGAAGGTCCCTCCATCCGATATACGGACTTCACGTTCCACCTCAAAACCTCTTTGCCGCAGGCGGCCGGCTACGAACCGGGTGATATCGTTATGACGTTTCACCCGAGCCCCATGTGTCTTGTGGCATGCCTGGGATATGTGGCCCAGGGTTCCTGGTTTCTGGCAAATATCACAGAGACCAAAAGCCTCGGGTCTACCCCTAGCTGCTCTAGACGGTGTGGCTAAAGCGTTTGCCCTAATCTGGATGGTGTGAGCAAAATCTCCTCTGCTTAGCAGACGGGTACCGGATGCGACCCATTTGTGGCAAGATGGAACCTCACAAGAGGACGCAAGGCCGGCACCATCAACCATGCTATACAGTTTTGCTTTCCACCTTGTGCTCAGTCGTTCTGTTAGAAGGGGTTCCGGCAGCCGTGGTCGGGTCTACCCATCGACGCATTCGCGCTTGGAACGCGGGATCCACTGGACACTGGATCCTCCGACTCTACTAACGCCCCGAGCCGCTTGTTCTTCTGTAGGTGAATTGATGTGGCAAAGTCGGGAATTCCTAGTCCACCGTCCTTTATGTCGGCGTGAAAAAAGGCATTGGGAGTATCATGAGGCAGTCGCAGCCAGCCACGGAAGACATGCCGCAACTGCCTGTCAAGCCTCGCCATCTCTGTTTTAAACACGCATCCGAGAACAAGCCCATGGTTCATCTTGGGGATTAGGTGGTGTTTTAGTAGGTATAGCCTCTGTTGGGGTTTGAGTGGCGCCTTAGTGATGTTCGTCAAGACGTCCTCGAACAGGGAACCATGGGATAGGTGTCTGCCCTCGGCCCCGATAAGTATCCCTAAATACTCTTTTAAAGAACACAGTAAAGTAGCTGTAACAACCCCGAAGAAAAAAGATGCTGGATAACAAAAATCTTTCAAACAAAGAAATGCCAAACTAATAATGATACTTTTTAAGACACTTGTGCTCTCTAAGGTGGAACAGTGATTCTTACACAAGACTGTGAGCAGCTATGTCCAACAGCCTGGTTGACCAGACCACCTTCCAGTAGGCCTGATCTGGGACTGGGCCCCACATACCCTGATTCCCAGAACTAGGTAGGCCACAACAGAGACTTATGCTGTGTATTTATAATAGTGGAAGTTTTCTATGTATGAGGTGAAAATATGTATATTTGCAGACCTAAAAGTGGTTACACATTTGATCTAAAAGTGTACAGTGGGATAAGAAAAATGATAAATGAAACAGGGATCATCATCATCATAAGGCAAGAGTTACCATCTGCTTGAATAACAAATACAATTCTGTGCAACTAACTGAAGACTTGTTTGAAAATGGTGTATATATACCTGTAGCACACTTAAATTTACATGTACAGTGTACTAGTGCACTAAAAATATTGAATAAACTGGTTAAACAAAAAATGCCTGACAATACTTCTTGAGACCCTAGGGTGGGCTTGGAAAATAGAAGTTGGAAGTTAACACTGTATAAACATCAGAGGCCCACTCTTGTTAATTATCCTCCCAGCAAGTATAAGAAATATTGCCTGAACAAAAGTGGAAATCTTGAAGAAAAAACTGGTCAGTTTTCTGCAAGAAGTGTGGTGGATATGTGGACCTGCGAACCACTCCAAGCAACAGTCTGTTGGACCAAGCTCTGACAAGTCGAGCCTGGCCCAGGGCTTGAGGGAGTAGAACAACTCTCAGAACTTCATGTAGGCACAATCCAAGAACAACCCAGAAAAATTCCAGAGCCCTCTCCAGGTAAACCCGATGCTACTAAGAGCCAGGACCAGAATCTGGCTTTCATTATGAGGCAAAGGGAGAGTGGAGATGAGAGAAAAACTACCCAGCAAATATAAGTACATCAAAACAGGCCATGCATGAAAAGAAATTAGTAACCCTGAGAAAAATTAGGCATACAATAATTGTCATGGAGTAAACGTCCCAGCTATAATGCACCCGATTACCACCAGATGGCATCCCAGGTCACCCAGGGCTTACACCAGCCACCCTCCTTATTCACTAAGCTGATACAGCCAGGGTCACACCTCTGCTGGGTGCACATTCAGTTTCATGCTTTCAGATAAGTGGTGCAGGCTATTGTTTGATTTTATTGTTTTTATTATAATCTCTCATTTGAATTTGTTTTAAGGTTTCCACGTCAAATAATGTTTGAGTGAGATGAGGTCATTGTAGTTAAGGTGCATTAACATAACTGTGGTTTCAAGCAAAAATGTTGTATAGACAGAACATATTGGAATATAATGGGTATCTTTTACTGGATAAGTGTGTGAATTTTCCAGACTTAATATGAATGAGGTTTGTATACTATGGTTCCAATGTACAGTATTTGCATATTTGGGGGGTGGAAATAATATATACAAATTTATCCAGGATTGTAGTGTAGAATACCCATAAATGCACAATGTTTTGCTGAAGGTAGAAATGTTACTAAAATTGTATTATAATTGTATAAGATTATTGATGAAAATAATTCTAAACATATCTGAGGCTCAAAATATATAATACAGTATGTATATGAAATAACATTATTTGGTAATTAACATTCACTGGGTTATGATAATTTAATTCTTTATTTCAGATTGTAACTCCATCCAAGCGATTTCTGGAATATGGATATCTCCAGCAGCGGCCATTCTATCACCAGACCTGGTTTATGGTAACGCTGGCAGCAATCTCAATCGTTCTCATCATCATAGTCATTGCTGCACTGTGTGTTAAGAGCAAAACATACAAATACAAACGTAAGTTTTGTGTCTGTGGGTAAAACGTGCACAGCTTATTGTATTTTAGTTAAATTTCTATGGTGGTCACCATCATGTTGTGTAACAATGTGTTTGCTTGAGGATGCCAAGTTATTGTTCTGCACCATTTAGTTTTAATCTGTAAACAGGTGTGGCCAAATTTATATTTATTGGTGGTGATCACTATAGTGGGACTTGAAATGTTCACATTTTCTTGGGGCTTGTGTGACTTCTATGAAATGCTGTCCAGTACAGTAAGTGTAGCTGTGTGTTGTGTATGGTTACGGGTTGTGTGCGCTTCTTGTTGAGAATACTTCGCATCCTTTTTCTGTTGCTTTGTAGTCTGTGTTTTGCTTGTAGATAGTGAACTTTTATAGATTCAATTTTGTTTCTATTCTCAATCTGCATGGTATTTTTATTTATGTAGATGTATTTTTCTTGCAAATTTTAAAATTAGACACTTCACAAATTCTTTAATAACAATATATTTTTATGGTATAAATTTTCCTATTTTTACATCTACCAAAATGCAGCCTTATTTTCATAATATTTTTGTAAATCCCACCTGACACTCGAAGATATCCACACTTGCCCACAACAGCTGAAACTAACACATGTTTTATTTTGTTTTGCATGAATATTAAAGCACACTGTCTCATTCCCAGGTATTGTAGAGGAATTGTTGTCAGCACGTAAGTTTTTAACTACCACAGTTTCATGTTAAAGCACAGACTGGCACGCATGTAGCATGAGTGTTGCCAACTGCATCCATCAGCAACCAAGTGTAGCACATTAGTGCAACACCACATTTCTTGAAGCATTTGTGTCTATTTTTCTTCATTCCTGGTTTATGTATTACTGTTACTTATAACAAACATGGCACACAGTTCTTCAACATTTCTTGCATTTATTATAAGACTAGCTATGTAGATTTTCCTTTTAATTCTAATATAAAAAATCTTTGAATCTTGCTCTTCACACCTGCAGCCTTTGCTTGCTAATCTGTGCCTCGGCTGTCTGTCACTTCTCTCACATTGTTTGACCTTTTGATGAAAATTGTATTTGTATTTTGAAAAATATGGCAGAAATATAATGTGCATTTTAACGACAAAAATCTAACATTTATTCTGCCACGTTATTAATTAAGTAAGGCTCAGCAATTTTGATACATTTAGCCAACAATTAATTGTAAAATAAAACATTTCACATACCAGAAGGTTTTCATGTTTGTCATAACAGTAAGGTGCAATACATGCTTCATGTCATGGATTTTGAAGAGTGATTGATTTGATATACTGATGCATAGTACATGGATGAGCTATATGGTTTAACTAATAATTATCTCCTGTATGATAGAAGAAGCAGCTAACAAGACTATGGAAGAGTCATTAAATACAGATGAGACAGCCTTCTCCACTTTTGAAATGCGACAGTCTAGGCGTGGCACTGTAAGCAAACGGAGTACCTTGGGACGTAGGTCTGTTGTTGGTGCCACGGCTGTCGTAAATGCAAAATCACCGCCACGACCCGCCCCGGCCTCCATCACATACTCGGATGAAGAGACAGTAAAAGGTTATGATGAGAATCCTGATGATTCAAGTGAACTAACCGAGAAGCCAACAGACTTGTCCTCGACTGCCTCAGAGGTTGGTTTTGATGTAATTGTTATATTTTGTTTGGACTTTTATTTTGTAGAAAAAGTTAAGTTTGTTATGGTTAAATATTGATGTATCTTTGGATAATACTTAATTTCCATCTTTTCATGATGTTTGCCTGACATCATCCCATACTTCAAACATTATGAAATTTTCTCACCTACCTTTCTGTTACAGCAGGAGTCTGAAAGCGAAAATGAGAGCCACCATTCAGAACCACATTCTTTTGTCAATCACTATGCCAATGTTAATGACACATTACGTCAGTCATGGAGAAGACAGAAGCCAGTTAGGAATTATTCTAGTTACACTGACTCGGAAGCAGAAGGAAGTGCAGTGATGAGTCTAAATGGAGGACAAATCATAATGAACAATATGGCTGGATCAAGAGCACCTTTACCAGGTTTTTCTTCATTTGTTTAGGTAAGAAATTTTATATAAATTTAGACAATTGAAAAGACAAACTACTTTAAGTCCTTTTTGTATGTGATACAATGATGATGATCTCGAGATCTGAATCAATGAGAAGAGTGGCTCGGGTGAAACCAAGGAAGCAAATTGGTTACTGCCATGATCAATCACCTGCAGCTTATTTAATGTGTGTGTCAAATGGACACTGGTCCCCTCTTGTCTGTGATATGTACAGCAGTGTAATGTAAATATTTGTAACTTTTAGGAATCATTCTCATAAACTATGAATTGAACAGTGACTTTGACTAAAGGGTTTTCTGAAATAGTCATAAGATACATATGACTCAAGCGTTTGTATTAAGTCTGAAGTATATATTAAGAGTACATTTAGTTTTGGGGGGGGATGGGAAAGGGGGTTACAGTTTATTGAACTGTCAATAAATGAAGGTTACTAAGTTTTCATGTAATTAAGTCAGAAAATTTATTCTCAAATGAATCAATGTAAGAATATAATGAAATGAAATTAGTTATAAGCAAAATATTGAAAATCACAAAGGTATGTTTAGAAATATTTCTATTTCATTTGTTGGGGTTAGAATTAATCAAAAACTTTATTAATTATGTAGGCAATTAATGTATCAGTTTTGTCTAATGCCAAAGCTAGGAGCATTCATTAATGTAAGAACTCTTGGCAATGTGAATTAACAGTATTTTTATGCATTTACCATCAAGAGTTAATGTCCTATTTCATCATCTTTACATTACCATAATCATTTCACGTGTATTACTTGTTACTGTAACAATCATAATATTAAGCAGGCATTATTTCAATATTGTATGTGAATAAATGTGATGAAGTTTTTAAGTGCATCTGAGAATTTTTATGTATTGAATAACAACAAACAGCTTATGAATTTGGATTAGATTTAGAATCAAAGTTTTTATATAGCATTTTCTTTGGATTCAAACACAGATTGAAGTGCCATTTTTGTCTTACTGCTTATCTTAATTTGTTTTGAAACCTGATATTTCCATATTCATTGTCTTGCTGTTAGTCAAAGGTGTGTGTGTTGATCATCTTTTTTAACTCATAAATGGACAAAATCACAAATTCTTATGGTTCTAAGGCAGAGATGCTTCACACAATATTTGAGTAGAGTAGACACAACATTTTTGATGCTCAAAAGTCATTAAGTTTTATTTATTGCTTTTGCTGCGTATTCAACCATTAAACAAAGTTGAGCACGCATATATGCACACTGGGTGCTGCAGTTGGCACATTAAATATTTAATGTTATACTGTAAATGTGGATGCTTTCAATTGTCGTTGCAGACAATGTCCTTCTGCACAAGTTTTGTTTCAGTTTCATTAAACAAAAGTAAACAGATATTGTGGAAGTAATTGAGTAGCCAGGATATAATGCTAGTGTTTTGTGGATCTTTAATGCAGTTTTTAAGCGGACTGAAATACCAAGAAAGTGACGATTAAGGAATAAATACAAAACGTAAGTCGTTGAATATAATTCATTACTCAAGATTATATAGTTCCTGTTGTTGGGATAGGAAGCTTGTGTATATATATACACACATTAGGCTTGTATGGAGGTCCCTCCCCCAAGGTCAAACCACAGACTGTACCCAGGATGTATTCCCCACAACAGTTGCCTAACTCTCCAGCCAGTACCAATTTACTGCTAGGTCATCAACAGAGGCATTAGGTGAAAGAAAACTTGCCCAATCATTTCTGTCTTGCCCAAGAATTGAACCGAGATCCTCGATTTCGAGTCGAACAAAACCAACTGTGGATCAATCAAACCTTATAATTAAAGAAACCTATGGGTGAGACCTTAATTATCTATTATATATATATATATATATATATATATATATATATATATATATATATATATATATATATATATATATATATATATATATATATATATCTCGGTAAATCTAGACAGTTGTGGACTTGGCTTGTTTGGGATTACATGGCTGTAGGTTTAGAACTGCTCTTATATTTATATTTTTGTACAATTTTAATTTGGAAATTGCATTACCTTGGAGTAGAGTTTTATAGAATAGTCTGCTCCAGGACATTTAAAATGCCTAGAGAGAGCACTTTGAAAGATGTCTTAGCTAATCCAGGTTGTGGATTTTTTTTTTTATGTAGGTAAAACAAACACAGAAAAGTTACCACCCACTTGCACTGAGAAATAATGGGAAAAAAAAAAAACTAGGTATGGCTTCAACGAGCACTTAAAAGTGGGAAAGCAGTGGGTAAAGACAAAGGCACAGGAAGAGAAATCATAATTGGTACAATGTGTGACCAGTGGAGAGAAATATAGTTAGAAAAGTAAGTAATTATCAATAGAAGGCACCAAACTGGGAAGGCTATGTAAATATAGTTAGGTAGCAAAGGTTATGTACCCAAGGAAAACAAATACTAGCTGGTGAAGTTTTCTCTCACTTACACTATACTGCTTACCAGTTTTTCATTAACACCTGCATTCTGTTTTTAGCAAAAATTTTGTGATGCAGTTGTTAGTGACTTATTTTTCTTCTTTTTATAAATGTTCAGTTAATATCAAAATGTTTCCAAACGTAACCATTTTAATTTTAAATCATAAAGTTAAAAAAGAACATTAAAAAACATTAAAATACGGTTCGATTAAAAGAAAATATATCGTCCAACCCTCAGAGCCCCTTAAAGTGCTCTGCGCAGTACAAGGGTTATCTGAAGGCCCTATATCTTCATTTATTCAAGAATTATGGAAGTTAGAATGATCTGTAGCATGTTACCTTGAGGTGCTTCGAAGCACCTCAAGGTAACAAGGTAATGTGAAAACTGGTGGTGTATTCTGTACTGTAATTTTTAGAGAGCGCGCCGACCCCCCATCTCTCGAGTAGAGATTGATATCTCGCAGTGTCAGAGGTAAAGATAAACGAATTTCACTTATGCTAATAGGATTGAGGAAATTCCAAATTGCCTAACTGAAAATTAACTACCTTATGTTCACTATTTAGTTTTTCTTTTATATTATAGGACTGACGACTCATACCAAGGTGCGAGATAATTTACACAATTAGACAGGTTTTCTAAGAATGGACAGAACCAGAGACATTTACAATGTTCTGTGCTACTGATAGTTTTCAACAACTCAGAAATACTTTTGTCCTATTCTTTGCTGCTGGTAGTATGGAGTAGGTCAGAAATAATGTCCTGTAATTTTTTTTTTTTTTTAGTTTTCAGTACAATGCATTTTGTAAATATATTCATAAGATTTTTTAATAAAAGTATGATATACTGTACTGCTTTCACTCATTCAGAGCACAACCTTAAATTGATAAAATAGACAATCAAAGAAAATACATTGGCTATATAATACATATGTATTTAAATAGTCCATACAGTATAAATATATATTTTGGTTACGTCTTGCACATACATTCCATAAATTTCTAACAGTAAATTGTCTCCAGTGATTAAAATCAAATTTACAACACTAATTTTCCAGCATCATACAATTGTCTACTTTGATATAAAACATATCTTACATTGTGAGATGTTCCCTCAGAAGGTAACCCTATTACCCTAACATCTTGGCTGTTTTAATCACATTTAATAGAACATAAGAATGAAGGTAACTGCAGAAGACCTATTGGCCCATACGAGGCAGCTCCTATTTATAACCCCCCAATCTCATTCATATATATATGTCTAACCTATGCTTGAAACAATCAAGGGATCCTACTTCTATTATGTCACGCGGTAATTGGTTCCACAAATTCAAATAATCTGAAGATTACATTAAAATAAGGAGTAGAATGTTTTTACAGTACTGAATGACTTTATTCAATACAGTTCCAATCTTGGCCATGTGCCTTCAAAAATAATGAATAAAGGTAAATAGATGGAAGCAGTAATTTTTGTGTGGAATATTAAATCCCATTATTATTCATGTGCAAAGAAATTGTCAAAAGAAATAACTATGCTAGAATGGTTACATGTAGTACTGTTCACATGCAAAGAAAAAGTGGAACTGGAGACAGATAAGAATCAAGGTAACTGTAGAAGGGCTATTGGCCCACATGAGGCAGATCCTTTTTATATCCACCCAATCTCATTCATATATGTCTAATCTACGCTTGAAACAATCGAGGGATCCTACTTCTATTATGTTACGTGGTACTGTAATTGGTTTCACAAATCAACAACCCTGTTACCGAACCAGTATTTACCCAGGTCTCTCCTAAATCTAAACTTATCCAATTTATACCCATTGTTTTATGTTCTATGATGTGTTGATACTTTTAATACCCTATTAATACCCCCCTTGTTATGACCATTCATCCACTTGCACACCTATATTATGACACCCCCTAATTCTTTGCCCTTCTAGAGAAAAATCCAATCTCTTCATATGACAGGTTTCTTATTTGCGGGATTAACTTTGTCATCCTAACAGCAAGTGCTGTGCTAATAGGTGTCCCTTCCACCTATGGGACAGTGGTTTCTTGACCTGCTGTAGGATGCATGTGGACATAGACCTGGCAGAAGGGTTAGGTGTTTGGAATGATCCCTGCTATAGGAATGAATTTTATATAAATTTGCTCATATTCATCTGTCAGTCTAGCTAACTCATGAACTTCTCTAAGGAGTTTCTCTGCCAGATACAAAGCCAAATTAGTAGGTATGCAAGATAAGAACTCTTCAACCAGGAGTAAATTTTGTTTTGACTCCAGATCCTAATCTTTCCATAATCTAACACGTTATTAAACATACAGCCTGCAGACCTAATCTTCAGAAGGTCATAGCTGCTCTGGAAAAAGTGCAACACTAGGCAACAAAAATCATCCCAGAGCCAGCCAAAATCATCCTCACCTACGAGGAACAGTTGAGGGCCATAGGGCTAACAACACTGCAAACCAGGCATGACAGGGTGGATCTCATTGAAACTTATTTAGTTTACCTGAGAGGCTTCCTGTCCTCTTTGAGACCACTAATGTTAGTGGCTCTCAGGTATACAGTATTTCTTTTCTCTTGTGCAAATTCTACCAAAGTTTCACCTGGGCCTCAGGAATGGGTTCATAACCAATAAGAATGGCTGCCTTGACTTTACCCTTGACTTTAGTGTAACCAAAGCAGTCACTTAAGGGCACAGATACAAAAATCCAGTCTTCCCACCCACTAACCTTGTAGAAGAGTGGTCACTGAGTGACCATTTCATACTCTGGGCCAACTTCTGAAAGTGAGGGAAGAACTGGTCCAGGTCAGTCTCACAGGAGAAGAAACTTGATATTTTTATATGCTTAACTTGCCCAGGTGTTTCCACAAAACCCATAATGTGTGACAATCAGGAAGAGCATTGACAAACTAAAAAGACTCAAAAGCCCCAGGTGTGGATGGAATTCAACCCAAAGTCGTAAAGGAACTGACAGATGAACTATACCTTCCACAAACTACATGACAGATTGGAAAGGAAATACAGGCCTTGGAATAAATGGTAAAATATTAAATGGATAAAACAAATGTTACAAGAAAGAAAGAAAAAACAAAGGATAGTGCTAAATGGGAACGAATCTAAATGGAGAAATGTGATAAGTGGGGTGCCACAGGGGTCCATTTTGGGGCATACCCTCTTTTGTCATATACATCAATAACATAAATGAGAATATTACAAATCACATCATCACATTTGCAGATGACACAAAGCTTTATGGTAAAGTGGGAAATAATGATGATATTGAAGCCTTACAAAGAGATCTACATGAACTCTACAAATGGTTAGAAGACAGGCAAATGCTTTTTAATATTGACAAATGCAAGACTCTGCATGTGGGGCATAACTCATGCCACAACTACCATATTAATAACATTACATTACAGCAGATTGATGAAGAAAAGAACCTTGGAGTCAAAATCCACCACTCACTAAAAGTTGCACAACAGGTAGGAGCAGCAGTCAGAAAAGCTAACCAAACCCTTGGAATAATCAAGTGAATCAAGTGAAGAACTTCAAGGAAAAGAAGGTAAGTAAGTAAGTAAGTAATTATCAAAAGAAGGCACCAAACCGGGAAGGCTATGTAGCACCATCAAATACGCAAAATAATCAGAGGGCGCTAAATATCACCAAGGATGCCAATACGAGAACAAAAACGCATAAGGCGAACGATATCAAAAGTATCCGAGTCACCAAGAATTCTATCGAGGGACAGGTGACCGCGAGGGGCGGTCGGAAAGCAAGACATACGCTCGTCCTGGAAGTCAGGACATTCAAGAAGGACATGCACGACCGTAAGAGGGACAATGCAACTAGGACAATAAGGAGCAGGGCGGCGCTCCATCAAGTGACCATGGGTTAAGCGAGTATGGCCAAGACGCAACCTCGCCAGAGCTGTTTCCCACCGCCGGTTACGGTGGAAGGAGGACTGCCACGAGGAAACACAACATTTAAGAGTACGTAGCTTGTTACCAGTAACAGACAACCAAGAAGCCTGCCAACGGG